ATTAACACTTCTGAATGAGCGCCTTGTGTTTCTCTGGTTATCTGGTGCGAAAACCTCGGAACAGAGGAGCAGTAATAACTGTAGCATAAAAATTTTAAAAAAGGAATAAAAAATAAAATGTTGATTCCCACCTAACTTCACATTTGTCTTCAACTGAACATTTCATGTCTTGCGTCTGAGATTTTGGGGGGAGGAGTGGTGAATGTCAATTTCAGAGGGGCCAGAGGAAGGGTTCAGAAGATCTCGGTGGCGACCAGCCAGGATCCACCTCAGGGAAGAAGAACCAAAGTTCAGAGGATCCGCCGGGCAAGACAGAGCACAGCATAGTGGCGGTTGGCTAAAGGGAGGAGTGGGCCTCAGCGCGAGGCGGGGAGGCAAGAGTTCGGCGAGGCCCCCGAGCAAGGCCGCGGGACTGAGGAAGCTGTCCCTGTGGGGAGGGAAAGGGCAGCGGAGGAGGAGCAGCATCCCGGGAGAATGAAGGGCCCGTAAGGCTGAGGCCGATCCTCAGGAGCCCTGAGCAGCGGCGACCGAACGGGGCGCCTGGCGGGGAAGGGAGCGGCGACGCCTCATACCTGGATTAGCACTTTCACGTACATGAGCGGCTGGGACAGGATGGTGAGACCGGAGCCTAGGAGCACCTGACTGGCCGCGTCCGCCATGATGGCACCCGCGGACGGACAGACAGACGGAGCCACCAAGCAACCCGGTGAGCCGGTCCTGGGTCACGTGCCAGGGCCGCCGGTTTCACTGGCCCGCCCACGGCGAGCGCGCACGCACGCACCGGCGCGCGCCTCCCTGCCCAGTTCCCGCCCTCCACCCTGCCCCGAGAAACGGCAGGCGCTCGCGATGGGGAGCTGGGGTCGGGGCGGGGCTTATGGGACGGAGGCGCATGCGTTTTGCCGGGGGCTCGTTCTCCAGAAATGACGGTTTCTCTTGCACATGCGCTGACCCCAAGGGTCCGGAAACAGAATGGGAGTGGCAGTGCGGGAGGGTGACCCTGACGGCAAAGGCAAGGTCAGAGGACTGAAAAGAATTGAAAACGATTCTTCGTTATGCTTCATCTCTGCACTTGCCCTTTGGGCATCATCAACATAGGGTTCAAAAGATATTCAGCATCAGAGCCCTAACAGTCTAGTGGCTGATAGCGAATCATGAATCCGCTAGCGAGTTGCTCTTCATTCATTTATTTGTTTAATTAATGTTGTCTTCTCAGAAATATCTTCTCTGAGCATTCTAAAATTCTAAAATTACCTTCCCCTTCCTCTTTTTTTTTTTTTTTTTGGAGACAGAGTCTTGCTCTGCCACCCAGGCTGGAGTGTAGTGGTGTTGATCTCGGCTCACCGCAACCTCCACCTCCCAGGTTCAAGCGATTCTCCTGCCTCGGCCTCTCGAGTAGCTGGTATTACAGACGTGCGCCACCACCCCCAATTAATTTTTGTATGTTTAGTAGAGATGGGGTTTCACCATGTTGGCCAGGCTGATCTTGAACTCCTGACCTTGTGATATGCCCACCTTTGCCTCCCAAAGTGCTGGGATTACAGGCTTGAGCCACCACACCCAGCCAGCTCCCCCTTATTTTCTCCCATATTGACCTGCTCCATAGCATTATCGCTGAAATTATGTCTCCTCCACTGGAATGGAAGCTCCATGAGTTCAGGAACCATGACAGCTTTTGTTCACGGTTGAGTTTTCAATGGCCAGCACATACGAGGTGCTCAATAAATATTGCACAAGGAAATAAATAATTCAGTGCTTTCCAGTCTACAGGCTATCAGAGGCAAAAATGAAAAGGGCATTTTCCCTGCTCCTTTAGCCCCAGCTCACATGTTCTTTTTAATTATTTATTTTATTAACTATTATTATTTTCAGATGGAGTTTCGTTCTGTCACCAGGCTGGAGTGCAGTGGTACAATCTTGGCTCACTGCAACCTGACTCCCAGGTTCAAGCAATTCTCCTGCCTCAGGCTCCTGAATAGCTGGGATTACAGGCGCATGCCACCATGCCCAGCTAATTTTTATATTTTTAGTTATAGACAGGGTTTCACCATGTTGGCCAGGATGGTCTCGATCCCCTGACCTCATGATCTGCCTACCTCAGCCTCCCAAAGTGCTGGGATTACAGGCATGAGCCACTGTGCCTGGTCCCAGCTCCAGCATTCTATCAAACATTTGGTGAATCAGAGCGTGGAGCAGAGTGAAGTACTACTGGGAAAAGACTTGGATTTGCATGCTGACTTTTCCACTGCATTTGTCTGTCATTTTAACCTCGTTGACTTCCAGTTTTTGTATCTAAATCTAACACTACTTACTATGTACCTCTCAGGGTTATTATGAGCATTAAGTGAAAATGTACATAGGAAAGGTTTTTTTTTTTAAAAACTATATTGGCCAGGCGCAGTGGATCACCTGAGGTCAGGAATTCAAGACCAGCCTGACCAACAGGATGAAACCCTGTCTCTACTAAAAATACAAAAATTAGCTGGGCATGGTGGTGGGTGTCTGTAATAGCAACTTCTTGGGAGGCTGAGGCAGGACAATTGCTTGAACCTGGGAGGTGGAGGTTGCAGTGAGCCAAGATCGTGCCACAACTCCAGCCTGGGTGACAGAACAAGACTTCATCTCAAAAATAAATAAGTAAAACCAGCATTTGTATTTTTTTTTGTATCTGTATTTTTATCTGGGATTACAGGACCCTGCCACCATGCCTGGCTAATTTTTTGTATTTTTAGTAGAAGTAGTGTTTTGCCACGTTGGCCAGGCTGGTCTCGAACTCCTGACTGCAGGTGATCCACTTGCTTCAGCCTCCCAAAGTGCTGGTATTACAGGTGTGAGCCACTGCGTCTGGCCCAGACGCTGGTTTTAATTAATATTGTCCTATATTCAGCACAGTGCCAGGTGATATTAGGAGTCAATTCATACAGCAGAAGGCACATGGGTTTTGAGGCCCAGTGGACCTGGTCCAAACTCCACCTCTGCCAGTTATTAACTGTGTGTCCTGAGGCAGAGCACATTACCACTTTGAACCTTAGACAAATATGTGTAATGTATACTTCACAATGTTCCTGTCAGGAAATAACATGCCTACCCAAGCCAGCACACACACACACACACACACACACACACACACACACAAAATATCAAATGATAGCCTTAAAATTATAAGAAACAGCTAGGCATGGTGGCTCACACCTGTAATCCCAGCATTTTGGGAGGCCGAGGCGGGCGGATCACCCGAGGTCGGAGTTCAAGACCAGCCTGACCAACAGGAGAAACCCCATCTCTACTAAAAATACAAAAATTAGCTGGGCGTGGTGGTACATGCCTGTAATCCCAGCTACTCAGAGGCTGAGGCAGGAGAATCGCTTGAACCTGGGAGGTGGAGGTTGCAGTAAGCCAAGATCATGCCATTGCACTCCAGCTTGGGCAACAAGACTAAAACTCCATCTCAAAAAAAAAAAAAGTTATAAGAAACAAGTTGCCTATAACTGAATCTAGAAACATAAAGCTGAGCCAGAGAGACTATTTAGCAAGGGGATTTTTTTTTTCTGAGATGGAGTCTTGCTCTGTCACCCAGGCTGGAGTGTAGTGGTGCAATCTTGGCTCACTGCAACCTCTGCCTCCTGGGTTCAAGCAATTCTTCTGCCTTAGCCTTTCGAGTGGCTGGGACTACAGGCACATGCCACCACACCTAGCTAATTTTTTTTGTATTTTTAGTAGAGACAGGGTTTTACCATATTGGCCAGGCTGGTCTTGAATTCCTGACCTCATGATCCGCCCACCTCAGCCTCCCAAAATGCTGGGATTACAGGCATGAGCCACTGCGCCCAGCCTGATTTTTTTTTTAGATTCAAGGTATGCATTTCCAACCAGACTACTATTTAAGTGATGTGTTCGTCTCAGGCTTTACATCAGAAGGCACAGAATCAATCACATGGTTAAGGCAGCGTCCAGTTGCCCCATTATATAGTCACTACTTTTTCCCTTCCAACTAATAAGCAGTCTGAGTGGAGACACTTTAAAACCATGCAAATATCTTGCTCCTAAATTCCTCCTAATTTTTGCATGCATAGGTACTTCTCGCCTGATCCATTTTACTACAGTAATTGCAAACTAATGAATTCCCAATTGCAGCACTCCTTCTACATTCACTACTGACAACAGCTTCACTCTTCCTAAACAGGAGCCCTCTTCCTCTCTCTGTCATTGATAGGAACTCAGGATTCCTAATTTTTCCAATGGGTTATAATTTATTAATGTCCTTAATCATTTTGGTGCCTAATATCCCAGACTTGGCCAGTGGGAGCTCCTTCAAGTTGGTTCCTTTATCCCATGACATGCCTCCAGTACTTTACTTTTTGACATAACACAATGTTTCAGGCTCCTCATCTCATATCTTCATTGCCTCAATGAACCCTGATTCCTTTTAGTGAGGAATGTATTAGAGACCAAGTTCTCAGTACAAAATGTACTGATTGCTGAAGGGGTATATTTGATTTTAGGCCTTTTTAGCAGACAAAGCTGAATACACATACACACATTACCTACATATATGAATATGCATATACACATGCACATATATACTTGTGTATACATACATGTGTATGTTCAGACATATACCTGTTTTAGAAATCATGAGTTCTGGCCAGGTGCGGTGGCTCACGCCTACAATCCCTGCACTTTGGGAGGCTGAAGCGGGTAGATCATCTAAGGTCAGGAGTTTTAGACCAGCCTGGACAACCTGATGAATCCCCATCTCTACTAAAAATACCGAAAAAAAAAAAAAAAAAAAAAAAAAAAAAAACCCAAAAAAGTTGGCCCAGCATAGTGGCAGGCACCTGTAATCCCAGCTACTTGGGAGACTGAGGCAGGATACTCACTTGAACCTGGGAGGCAGAGGTAGCAGTGAGCCGAGATTATGCCACTGCATTTCAGCCTGGGCAACAAGAGGGAAACTCCATCTCAAAAAAAAAAAAGAAAGAAAGATATAATGAGTTCTTGGGTTTTAGCAACATCAACACATTTATTCATTTGTTCAAGCATATAATACATCTAAAATAGTTTCAGAATTGATTTGCCAATGCTATTACATAAACAAACCTACCAAAGAGAGTTCAGAATTTGTTTGCAGTTATCTTCCTACCCCTGCTTCACGGGAACCTTGCTTCTGAACCACTCCCGATGAATATAGCTGTTTGCTGGGAGGAAGGTGGCAGCAGAGAGGGAGCACGGGACTGGAAATGGAGGCATGCAATAGCCATGGAGGGGGAAAGGTGCAGGAACCTCAGTTTCAGAAGCAGAAGGTAAGTTTCCAAGGCTGGAGAAGATACTGTGTGCTGGCCCAGGTCCACTGGATGGCATGTTTTCCTGCAGCCATCTTGGCAGCCTGTATATAGTAGAGAAGACAGATGGCTGGGACGGCTGGCTGATCCAAAGTTGGGGAACTACCAGGTGGATGTGGCAGAAGGACAGAGGATGAGGACACTGGGGTGCTGGCAAGAGAGTGGTTGATGTCATGAACCCTGGAGTCTGGGCAGAATCGGGGAAGAAATGAAGCCAAGAGAAGAGGAATGACTGGACCTGTGAAGGGGTTTATTCATGTGATTTCTGGTCACTAAATCCAATAATCTAGAAATAGGCAGTTCAGGGGGCTATGAAGAGAGATGGCTTGTATCAAAATTGGTTAGTGACAGATGAGAGGAACTGTACTCAGAGCAACCAAAGAGATCGTGTTTCCCCAAAGACTAGAGATTGAGGGAGATAAGACCTCGCTGGTACAGGCTAGAGAGGGAAACTGTTTAAAGCACATTATTGCAATGTATGATCAATAGCTAAGAGTAGTGTTCAAATGAAGGGAACTTAGAGATCATTTCACCTGGACAGGCACTTTTTTTTTTTTTTTTTTTTTTTGAGACAGTCACGCTGTAGCCCAGGCTGGAGTGAAGTGGTGTGATCTCAGGTCACTGCAGTCTCTACCTCCTGGGTTCAAGCAATTCTCCTGTCTCAGCCTCCCAAGTAGCTGGGACTACAGGCATCTGCCACCACGCCCAGCTAATTTTTTTGTATTTTTAGTAGAGACAGGGTTTCACCATGTTGGCCAGGATGGTCCCAATCTCCTGACCTTGTGATCCACCCACCTCTGCCTTCCAAAGTGCTGGGATTGCAGGTGTAAGCTATCGCACTTGGCCCAGCACTTCACTTTTAAGGTCAGGAAGTAAAAGTCCTGACCTTACTTAAGGACTAAGTAAGGTTGCCTAAGAGTTGTTAAGCAACTGCCCCATGCCTCCCTGACCCCAGCCTGTGTGGGATTCAAACTCAGGTGTTCTAAATCCCATGTTGGTGGCTCTTTAACCCACTACAATGTTCTGAAACTACCAAATGTCTGACTGGTTTGTTTTGCCTACTAGCCTTTGTTCTCCATCCAGATTTTAAGCACAGGGGCAGGAGTGAAATCCTATGCATCAGCGCATTCTCCATAGTTCCTAAGTCAGTCACTGCTCAATGCATCTTTTTTTTTTTTTTAAGACAGAGTCTCACACTCTGTCACCCAGGCTGGAATACAGTGGTATGATCTCAGCTCACTGCAACCTCTGCCTCCTGAGCTAAAGCAATCCTCCCACCCCACCTCCAGGGTAGGTGGGACTACAGGCATGTGCCACCATACCCAGCTAATTTATGTGTTTTTGTTGTTGTTGTTTTTGAGTTGGAGTTTCGCTCTTGTTACCCAGGCTGGAGTGCAATGGCGCAATCTCGGCTCACCACAATCTCCGCCTCCTGGGTTCAGGCAATTCTCCTGCCTCAACCTCCTGAGTAGCTGGGATTACAGGCATGCGCCACCATGCCCAGCTAATTTTTTGTATTTTTAGTAGAGACGGGGTTTTACCACGTTGACCAGGATGGTCTTGATCTCTTGACCTTGTGATCCACCCACCTCGGCCTCCCAAAGTGCTGGGATTACAGGCGTGAGCCACCACGCCCGGCGTATTTTTTTGTTGTTGTTAGAGACAGCGTTTTACCACATTGCCCAGGCTGGTCTCATATTCCTGGGCTCAAGGGATCTACCTGCCTCAGCCCCCCAAAGTGCTGGGATTACAGGCATGAGCCACCATCCTGGCCTATCTCAGTTTCAAGAGGTGTTGTCAGCTCTCCAAAAACAGACAGATATGCTGCCACCAGATGGTGATAGGACCTTCATTAGGTCCTGTGGTCCAAAGAGTAAGGCTTCTTAAGAAACCGTATTCACAGGCCTGGCGGCTCACTGCAACCTCCGCCTCCGGGGTTCAAGCTATTCTCCTGCCTCAGCCTCCCGAGTAGCTGGGATTACAGGCACATGCCATCATGTCCCGCTAATTTTTGTATTTTTAGTAGAGACGGGTTTTGCCATGTAGGGCAGGCTGGTTTTGAACTCCTGGCCACCCAAAGGCGTGAGCCACCGCACCTGGCTGAATTTCTGAACAACTTTCCAACAAGGTTTGCTTTTGAGATTTGTCTTTTAAGGATATCATTTTAGGGATAATAAGTGAAGTTTTGGCTGCTTTCTGGAACTTAAAATGCTGATTAATAGTTTTAGGAAGTAAGGTGTGGCATTGAAGAAGGCCATTTGCAAACTGCCTATGTAAAGAGCATGGGCTGACATTCCCCTTAAAAAGACTCACACATTAGCTGAGCATGGTGGTGCGTGCCTGTAGTCCCAGCTACTCAGGAGGCTGAGGCAGGAGAATTGCCTGAACCCAGGAGGAGGAGGTTGCGGTGAGCCAAGATTGCGCCATTGCACTCCAGCCTGAGTAAGAAGAGCGAAACTCCGTCTCAAAAAAAAAAAAAAAAAAAAAAAAAAAAAGACCACACATTGAGGGCAGCTGCATCTAGAAACTCTCTGTACTCTTTGCTCATTTCTCTGTAAATCTAAAACTGTTCTAAAATACTTTTAAAATACTCAAACAGTAGGATTGCAATAAAATGTGTGTTGTCATGTGGTTCTAATGACTAGTAATCCAGGTGGCTGAAAGTTTAAAAGTGATAATGAAAAATGTGCTAGAAAACTTTCAATCCCATGTGATAGAAAACCTGGCATGAGCTGGAGTGACCCTCCTCTAAATGACTCCAATGTGTTTACATGACAGGCTGTAGCTGGCAGACTATGCTTGGTGCTCAGGAGGGACTATTGGAAAGAAAAGGTGGATAGAAAATATCTGTTCACATAAAATTATGCAGTTAACCAATCAAAGGAAACAACTGGTTAGAGAGAAAGAATTTTTTTTTTTTTGCTCACCTTCAACTGTCTTGATAGAGTTATAGAGAGAAAGAATTTTAATCAGCAGCGGTTAAAAAGTTTACAAAACCTTGAACATAAGATATGCAACATTAAATTCTGGGTAATACATGCATTGTTATTTTCATGTGGGAATACCTCATTCTGAGCAAACCTGACATATAGCAGTCAGACTGACCATTCACCACTGGAAAGCTTTGACACAAGACTTTTTTTTTATATAGCACTTCCCCAAAATGTGTTTAACACAGAGTTTGATTTTTAAAAATTGATTTGCACATAATTTTAGAGAGAATATCTATTGGTTAAAATTAGGAATATCTGTGCTGCCACGAGGTGTGCCATGAGAGCACACTTCAGTTCCTGATAAAGCATTTTTACACATCATAATGAAATTTCATTTTATGAAAAAACAGTTGAATTCATGAGGTATGCATCTTGATCACAACACAGAGTGTAAGTACAAAGTGTAAGGTCAGTGCATGAGTACACAACACAGTACACCACTATGAAATGCAGTTCCCAATCACACATCCCCCCCATTACAAAATGTGTCTAATCTCCAACACCCCGAGAAGTGCTTGTGTGGCACAGCCCAGGCTCACCAATGGGTATGTGTATATGTGCAAGGATGGGTATGCCGCCGTGGCCACACAGCCTCTCTTTGTAGCATCTCCTCCTTGGCCAGTTTGGCTTCACACCTGGAGCTGGCTCCTGGCTGGAGTTTATGGTTCTCTTTGGAAAGCATGATACTGCAAAGCCGGGCTTCTTATTCTGTGCAAATAAGATTTTTTTAAAAAGTTGAATTCACTTTATTTCGCCATTTCTAAAGATGTAGTTAGGTTTGGGATTGGCTTTACAAGGAGTTGGTGAGAAGCATTTGCATTTCTTTTTTGTTGTTGTTGTTTTTTTAGTTGTTTTCTTTTTTTGAGGCATTTGCATTTCTTCCCCAAATATCAAAGTAGTTGACACTCCTACAGAACAGAGGTGAACTGAGCATTTGTCCTGATCCTCAGCCAAATCACAGTCAACATGAGCAACATTTTTTTTTTTTTTTTTTTGAGATGGAGTCTTGCTCTGTCACCCAGACTGGAGCACAATGGTGCAATCTTAGCTCACTGCAATCTCTGCCTCCCGGGTTCAAGCAATTCTCCTGCCTCAGCCTTCTGAGTAGCTGGGACTACAGGCATGTGCCACCATGCCTGGCTATTTTACTTTTTTGTATTTTTAGTAGAGACGGGGTTTCACCATATTGCCCAGGCTGCCCTCAAACTGCTGACATCAAGTGATACTCCAGCCTCAGCCTCCCAAAGTGCTGGAATTACAGGCATGAGCCACCACGCCCGGCCAACATGGGCAATATTTTAATTGCCCCAAGAAGCAGAAAGACTGCATTTTATAAGCTGTCAAGAAACATTGCTCAAAGGAAAAGAAAAATGGTCTATGAAGGTGGCAGATTGCCTCATTTTCTTCAATTCCGTTTATCTGACACGTTATAGAAGTTAAATACCCACATCTCTGTTACACAAATATCACACCGGAAAGAAAATATGAGGCAGGAGAATCTTGAGCCCAGCAGGTGGAGGCTGCAGTGAGCCAAAATTGTGCCACTGCACTCTAGCCTAGCGATAGAGCAAGTCTCCGTCTCAAAAAAAAAAAAAAAAGAAAAAATTAAGAAAATGAAGTAGAGATAAAGGTTTGGATGACATTCATCCACTACACTGTATTTAATTGAATTCATGGTTATATGTTACAACCTAATTAGTATGTTGCAGTTCCAGGATATGGTTTTTGCTACTCATAGGCTTCCGGCAATGAATGCTAAGTGAAGAAAGAGGACAAACTCATTATTTATTAGTCTGTCAGGACTGAAATTCTTTAATTTGACTTTATTTAAGCCCATCTTTTCACTGCTCTTCACTTTCTGTTATACTGTGGTGACTGGACTATCAGTCTTGTCACTCCTAGAGCATCTTGTCTTCATGTCTTTTAAGGGCCCTGCCCATCGTAAACAGTAGCTGACACTGATAGGTAAATGAGAGCATCAGTGCAAGAATTCCCAAGTAACAGACTTGGAAAGACAGCAGGGACTCAGTCCATTGGGAGAACCATCCATTCTTTATCTAGTAAACCTAACTTAATCCACTGATTCTCAACTTGGGTTTCACCCAGACACGTGAATAAAACCATCCTGTAAACATACTCTGGGCTATTAGAAACAACAGCTTACTAGCTGTTTCTCCACCTCTTTTTTCCTCCCTTTCAGGAAAGAACATGTGAGTGCAAATGAGCATGACAAATGTTATTATATGGATAAGTATGAATTAATTCAAACTTATTCTTTTTATTTTTCATATTTATTTATTTTTGAGACAGAGTCTCATTCTGTTGCCCAGGGTAAAGTGCAGTGGCACAATCTCAGCTCACTGCAACCTCTGCCTCCTGGGTTCAAGCAATTCTCCTGCCTCAGCCTCCCAAGTAGCTGGGATTACAAGTGTGCACCATCACACCCAGCCAATTTTTACATTTTTAGTCTAGATGGGGTTTGGCCATGTTGACCAGGCTGGTCTCAAGCTCCACTCACCTCAGCCTCCCAAAGTGCTGGGATTACAGGTATGAGCCACCAAGCCTGGCCCAGACTTACTAAGTTTTTTTTTTTTTTTTTGAGATGGAGTTTTGCTCTTGTTGCTCAGGATGGAATGCAATGCTGTAATCTCGGCTCACCACAACATTCGTCTCCTGGGTATAAGCAATTCTCCTGCCTCAGCCTCCCAAGTAGCTGGGACTACAGCCCTGTGCCACCACGCCTGGCTAGTAAAGACAGGTTCTCCATGTTGGCCAGGCTAGTCTCAAGCTCCTGACCTCAAATGATGCACCCACCTTGGCTTCTCAAAGTGCTGGGATTACAGGCATGAGCCACTGTGCCTGGCCTAAAACTTAGTCTTTTAAAAAAGCAAGTATTTCACAAATCTTGGTACTGAATGGTCAGTGATAACTATAGCCTGAGGGTGCAAAATGCCTTAGATGTTCACCTGAGCAGAATAAATCTGAGAAGTAAAATGGACTGTGGATCACCACCCCTCCAAATCACATAATACATTTGAGAACTAATTAAAATTAATAGCTGGCAAATAAGTATATACAGTATACTAGGGAAAGTACCTGCATTTTCTCTTTATTCTTAGGCAGAATCAGGGTGGTCATTGATGGGTCCAGGGGGGCGTCTTTGTCTCTTCTACTGAAATTTGTCTAAAATAAATGAACATATCTTCAGTAAATTCTCTACTTGAACAAGTATGATTATAATGAATATGCATTATTTGCTTCTTATTTATATATGTTAATTCATTATGACACTCTCACACAAGAAGGTGGGCAAAACATAATTCAAAGAAGTAAAAATGATTCAAAGGGGGAAAAGTGACTAATTTACAAAGTGCCTATGATATGCCAGGTGCTTTGCATTTTCACACAAATTCATCCACCTTAGGATGCAGATATTATCGTCTCAATATTTCAGATGCAAAACTTAGTTTCAGGGTCGTCAGATGACTCACAGAATATTAAACAGTGAGGCAAGACAGACTTCAAAATTTGTGCTCTTGTCATCAGCTGTGCTCTGTGGAGATTCCCCAGTATCATACAGTGAGACCTTATTAATAGCATTGTTAACCTGTCTCACTCTGTCACCTAAGCTGGAGTGCAATGGCAAAATCTCAGCTCATTGCAACCTCTGCCTCCTGGGTTCAAGAATTCTTGTGACTCAACTTCCTGAGTAGCTGGGACTACATGCATGCATCACCACACCCAGCTAATTTTTGTATTTTTAGTAGAGATGGGGTTTCACCATGTTGGCCAGGCTGGTCTCCTGGCCTCATGTGATCCACCCACCTTGTCCTCCCAAAGTGTTGGAATTACAGGTGTGAGCCACTGTGCCTGACCAAACTTATTCTTTTAAAAAAGCAAATAATTGGCTGGGTGCGGTGGCTCATGCCTGTAATCCCAGCACTTTGGGAGGCTGAGGTGGGAGGATCACCTGAGGTCAGGAGTTCCAGACCAGCCTGGCCAACATGGAGAAACCCTGTCTTTACTAAAAATACAAAATTAGCTGGGTGTGGTGGTGCATGCCTCTAATCCCAGCTACTCAGGAGGCTGAGGCAGGAGAATTGATTGAACCCTGGAGGCAGAGGTTGCAGTGAGCCGAGATCACGCCATTGTACTCCAGCCTGTGCAACAAGAGTGCAACTGTCTAAAGGAACCCAGCAAATAATTCACAAACCTTGGCACTGAATGGTCAGTGGTAGCACTACATGTGAAGCACACCTCACAATCCAGGGCAACACTCGATGTGTTGTTAACCTCCTAAGGCTGAGAACAGGTGCCTCATTCCCTGTTACTTTCTTACGTGACATGTTGCCATGGCATTTCAAAATAATGGCTCCCTAAAAAACGTTCATTGAAATGAAATTCAAAGGCAAGCTTTTAACACTAGATGGGCTCCCTCCAGCCCTGGTGTGTCCCAAGGGCCAGGTGGTTTGTAGCCTGAGGGTGCAAAATGCCTTAGATGTTCACCTGAGCAGAACATATCTGAGAAAGTAAAACTGGACTGTGGATCACCGCCCCTCCAAATCATATAATACATTTGAGAACTAATTAAAATTAATTGCTGGGACATAAGTATATACAGTATATTAGGTGAAGTACCTGTATTCTCTCTTTATTCTTAGGCAGAATCAGGGTGACCATTGATGAGTCCAGGGGGGTGTCTTTGTCTCTTCTATTGAAATTTGTCTAAAATAAATGAACATATCCTCACTAAATTTTCCACTTGAACAAGTGTGATTACAGTGAATATACATTATTTGTTTGCTTCTTATTCATACATGTTGATTCATTATGATATTCTCACACAAGAGGACAGGCAAAACATAATTTAAAGAAGTAACAATTCAGAGAAAAAATGACTAATTTACTGAGTGCCTACCATATGCCAGGTGCTTTACACTTTCACACACTAATTCTTTCAACAACCATAGAATACAGATATTACCACCTCAATATTTCAGATGCAGAAACTGAGTCCCAGTGCAGTCAGATCATGCACAGAATATTAAACAGTGGGGCTCAAATTTGAACTCAAGACAGTCTTCAAAATTTGTGCTTTTGCCACCAGCTATGCTCTGTGGGGATTCCCCAGTATCACATGGTGAGACCTCATTATAGTACTGTTTTTTGTTGTTTGTTTTTTTGATTCAGAGTCTCGCTCTGTCGGCCAGGCTGGAGTGCAGTGGCACGATCTTGGCTCACTGCAATCTCCGTCTCCAGGCTCAAGCAATTCTCCTGCCTCAGCCTCCAAAGTAGCTGGGATTACAGGCATGTGCCACCATGACCAGCTAATTTTTGTATTTTTAGTAGAGACAGGTTTCACTGTGTTAGCCAGGCTGGTCTCAAACTCCTGACCTCAGGCAATCTGCTCGCCTCGGCCTCCCAAAGTGCTGGAATTACAGGCATGAGCCACTGCATCTGGCTCTGTTTTTTGTTTTTGTTTTTGTTTTTGAGATGGAGTTTTGCTCTTGTCACCAGGCTAAAGTGCAATGGTGCGATCTCGGCTCACTGCAACCTCCACCTCCTAGATTCAAGTGATTCTCCCACCTCAGCCTCCCAAGTAGCTAAGACTACAGGGGTAGGCTACCACATGCACCTAAGTTTTAAAATTTTTTGTAGAGATAGGATGTTGCTATGTTGCTTAGGCTGGTCTTGACCTCCTGTCCTCATGTGATCCTCCCACCTCAGCCTCCCAAAGTGCTGGGATTACAGGTGTGAGCTACAGTATCTGACCTTGAACACCTTTTTTTTTTGTTTGTTTTTGAGATGGGGTCTTGCTCTGTTCCCAGGCTGGGGTGCAGTGGTAGGATCACAGTTCATTGCAACCTTGACTTCTCAGGCTCAAGAGAGCCTCCTACCCCAGCCTCTCAAGTAGCTAGGACTATAAGCATGCACCACCATGTCTAGCTAATTTTCTTTTTTTTTTTAATGTTTTATTTTTGTTACTTTTTTAAACTCATGATATAAAGAAAAAAATTTTTTTTCAAGATACATTCTCGCTCTATTGCCCAGACTGGAGTGCAATGGCACAATCTCAGCTCACTGCAACCTCCGCCTCTTGGGTTCAAGCAATTCTTGTGACTCAGCTTCCTGAGTAGCTGGGTCTACAGGCATGCAACACCACACCCAGCTAATTTTTGAATTTTTAGTAGAGACAGGGTTTCACCGTATTAGCCAGGCTGGTCTTGAACTCCTGGCCTCATGTGATCTGCCTGCCTTGTCCTCCCAAAGTGCTGAGATTACATGTGTGAGCCACTGTGCCCAGCCATGCCTCGCTAATTTTTAAAAAAAATTTGTGTGGAGATGGGGGTCTTGCTATATTGCCAGGGCTAGTCTTGAACTCCTGGACCCAAGTGATCCTCCTGCTTCAGCCTCCCGAAGTGCTGGGATTACAGGTTTGAGCCACCATGCCTGGCCATCCAGGCTGGAGTACAGCGGTATGATCATGGCTCACTGCAGTCTCCAACTCTGGGCTTATGTGATCTGCCCACCTCAGTGTTCCAAGTAGGTGGGACTACAGGCATGCACCGCCATGCCTAGCTAATTCTTATTGTTTGCAGAGATGAGATCTCACTATGTTGTGCAGGGTGGCCTTGAACTCCTGGGGTCAAACGATCCTCCTGCCTCGGCCTTCTAAAGTATTGGGTTTGGCCAGGCGTGGCGGCTAACACCTACAATCCCAGAACTTTGGGAGGCTGAGGCGGGTGGATCACCTGAGGTCAGGAGTTCGAAACCAGGATGGCCAACATGGTGAAACCCCATCCACACTAAAAATACAAAAATTAGCTAGGTGTGGTGGCAGGTGCCTGTAATCCCAGCTACTCAGGAGGCTGAGGCGGGAGAATCACTTGAACCTGGGAGGTGGAGGCTGTAGTGAGCTGATGAGATAGCACCACTGCACTCCAACCTGGGTGACAGAGTGAGACTCTGTCTCAAAAAAAAAGAAACAAATAAGAAAACATACAAAGTGTTAAGTTTATAGGCATCAGCCACCATGCCCAGCCAACCTACTTTTTTACATTAAAAAATCAAGGATTTTGGCCAAGAATGGTAGCTCATGCCTATAATCTCAGTACTATGGGAAGCCGAAGTGGGCATATTACTTGAATTTAGGAGTTTGAGACCAGCAGCCTGGGCAACATGGTGAAACCCTGTCTCTACTAAAAATACAAAAATTAGCCAAGCATGGTGATGGGCATCTGTAATCTCTGCTACTCCAGAAACTGAGGCACGAGAATCACTTGAACCCAGGAGGGGGAGGTTGCAGTAAGCCAAGATTGTGCCACTGCACTCCAGCCTGGGTAACAGAGCAAGACTCTTGCCTCAAAAAAAAAAAAAAAAAAAAAAAAAAAAATCAAGGATTTTATAGCCATAAAACTATAAAGTACTAAACATTGGTTGAATGTCTCTTCTCTGTGTTGTCACTGCATCCTACTCTGTGATATAATTTCCTAATTACTTGTTGAAATCTCCACTGGAGTCTGAAGTCCCTGAGGCAGGGACAGTATTTTGTTCAAGCTTGCATTCTTAGCATCCAGTAAAGGGACTGGCATGCAGTAAGTATCCAGTAAAATTCATTTATTTATTTTAAAATAAAATGTGCTGATTGAATGCATGGGTGGGTAGATGGATGAATAGATGGTAAGTCAGCCTGTTCTTATGGCCTTGGTGTAAAATCACAAATCACCAATATTTGATTCCAGACTTCAGTCATGTCTAATCCAAAGCATTGTCAATGTCTTCCCCAATTTTAATGTTTTCTTGCTCCCAGTGGCACTGTCAGGTTAGGGTAACATAAATGGCTATAATATTTGTCACCCTGTGGGGGAGAGGTGCTAATTTCAGAAATTAGAGAATCTGTGTGACAAAGAATCAAACGAAAATACTACCTCATTTAACCTCGGGTTTTCATTTTTCACTGGTAAAGAACTGGAATTCTCTGAGTTTTTGAAAAAGGTTGGCTGCTTTTGGAGAGTAGAAGCAAATCCTGCCCTTTCCTAGAAGGATTGAGTGAAAAGAGAATCTTATTTTCAATTGATCTATTCAAAATTTACTCAACAGCAAAACTTCTAGCTCTGAAAGCACTTTTGTCTTTAGAAAGCAGAGGGTATGGTGTGAGTGTGGCAGCTTGGAAAGAGACTGATGAGCTATCCAGGTGTCTTAGTCTGGACCAGGCTGGCCCCCAGCCACCCATCTACTCCAGACTACCTCTAGCCACTACCATTCCAGTACTTTGTCTTTCCTCTGGAAATTCAGACTTGGCTAAAACCCAGACTCCTATGCCAGAGTGTAGGAGACGATCAGGAGGCCAATGCCGAAACCTGCTCAGAGATGTCCAGAGGGTCCTTGGAAGGGTTCTGATGCCAAAACAGAAAGTCTCCCCCATCCCAATCTCCATCCCCTTTTTGGTTTAGAATAAACTTAACCCCCTTTCCTTCTCTCCCTCTATGGAATACTGTGTAACCAGAAAGTAGAAATAGCCAGCAAGGCTTTCTTACTGCGGTATCTTCTGTTAACTTTAACTTCCGCATCAACTTTTTTCTCTGATACTGCTCATTTCGTTGTTTCCTAGTCTGAAGTGACTTCTTTTTTTTCCTCTTAAGCATCTTCTTCTGATTCAGCTATTCCACAAAGTAGACACTGGTCACTGAGTATTCCAGAACTAGGCCCACCCACATGTGGCACTCTTCATACAACACTCAAGACACAGGCTAACTCAGTATGCAGCCTTGTGGTATTGGTTTGGAGTGCTGGGATTACAGGCGTGAGCCACCGTGCCCAGCTGTGTCATAATTTTTTTAAGGCTGCTATTTCTTGGGTATAAGAGTTCAGCTTACCTCATCTGCTATGTTTGCTAGGTGAACAGGAAGACCATCTGAGAGAGAACTGTCAGAGCCACTGGTGCTGTTTCCAAAAGAAAAAAAGAAGAGGAAATAGCTGTCATTGATATGTCTAGAAAGCATAACATTTACCACAGTAGCTATATGGGATTAGGATTAGGAGATCTTCTAGCCAACTATATTATTTTCTTTCTTTTTTATGTTTTTGGGATAGGGTCTCACTCTGTCACCCAGGCTGGGGTGCAGTATTGTGATCATAGCTCACTGGTGCCTTGAGCTCCTGGGCTCAAGAGATCCTCCCACCTCAGTCTTCTGAGGAGCCGGGACTACAGGCTTGCACCACCACGGCTGGCTAATTTTTAAAATAATTCTTGAAGACAAGGGATTGCCTGTGTTGTTGCCTGGGCTGGTCTTGAACTTTTGTGTTCAAGCAATCTTCTTGCCTCAGCCTCCTAAAGTGCTGAGATTACAGGTATGTGCAACTGCAACTGTACCCAAACAATTACTAAGAATTCTTGATGGTCGGGCATGGTGGTGCATGCCTGTAATTCCAGCACTTTTGGAGGTGGAGATGGGTGGATCAGCTGAGGTCAGGAGTTTGAGACCACCCTGACTACATGGTGAAACTCCATCTCCATTAAATACAAAAAATTAGCCAGATGTGGTGACGTGTGTCTGTAGTCCAGCTACTTGGGAGGCTGAGGCAGGAGAATAGCTTAAACCTGGGAGACAGAGATTGCAGTGAGTGGAGATCATGCCATTGCACTCCAGCCTGGGCAACAAAAGTGAAACTCTGTCTCAAAAAAAAAAAAATTCTTGACAAGCACATTCATTCATTCATTCACTCTGAACACTTACGGCATGCCAGGCAGTGTGTTAGGCACAGGAAACACATATGAACGAGGCAGAGCCCCTGGCACGAAAGAGTCTGCAATCTATATGGCAAAGCAAATACTGGCCAGATGGTCAAAGTTGCCCTTGGTGGAGGATGTGAGAGGCCACAGGTTTCTCAATATGCAAGCCTACAGAACAGCAGAGGTCTGGGATTTGTTTGAAAACGAGGGATCTTTCTCATTCACTCCTCTTTGGCTGGTACCAATTCAGAGAGTAATCCCAGCATTTTGGGAGGCCGAGATGGGTAGATTACAAGGTAAGGAGTTCAAGGGGGCGCGGTGGCTCAAGCCTGTAATCCCAGTACTTTGGGAGGCCGAGGCGGGTGGATCACGAGGTCAAAAGATCGAGACCATCCTGGTCAACATGGTGAAACCCCGTCTCTACTAAAAATACAGAAAATTAGCTAGGCATGTTGGTGCATGCCTGTAATCCCAGCTACTCGGGAGGCTGAGGCAGGAGAATTGCCTGAACCCAGGAGGCAGAGCCTGCGGTGAGCTGAGATCGCGCCATTGCACTCCAACCTGGGTAACAAGAGTGAAACTCTGTCTCAAAAAAAAAAAAAAAGACCAGCCTGGCCAACATGGTGAAACCCCGTTTCTACTAAAAATTCAAAAATTAGTTGGGTATGGTGGCAGGTGCCTGTAATCCCAGTTACTTGGGAGGCTGAGGTAGGAGAATTGCTTGAACCGGAGAGGTAGAGGTTGCAGTGAGCCACAACTGTGCCATTGCACTCTGGCCTGGGTGACAAGAGGAAGACTCCATCTCAAAAAATAAAACAAAACAAAAAACAAAAACAAGAAATCCGGGATTCTAAGGAGGTACTCTGAAAAATTGTATTCAATAAACAAATACATTTAATAAAGAATCTGAGCATGGAAGACAAAGTAAGATGCTGTTTCTACCAAAAAAAAAAAAAAAAATTAGTGAGCAGTGGTGGTACCTGTCGCCTGTGGTCCCAGACACTTGGGAGGCTGAGGTAGGAGGACCACTTGTGCCCAGGAGGTTGAGGCTGCAGTGAGCTGAGACTGTGCCACTGTACTCCAGCCTGAGCAACAGGGCAAGAACCTAGCTCAAAAAATAAATAAATAACAAAAAGAACCTTCAGGTCACAGACTAAGATTACTTTTATCACCCCTATTTCCTTCAAAAGTTTTGGATGAGGCCAGGCATGGTGGCTCATGCCTATAATCCCCACATTTTGGGAGGCCAACGCAGGAGGGATCGCTTGAGGCCTGGAATTAAAGACCAGACTAGGCAACATAGTGATACCCTGTCTCTATTTAAAAAAAAAAAAAAAATTGGCTGGGCGTGGTGGCTCATGCTTGTAATCCCAGCCCTTTGGGAGTTGAAGGCGGGCAGATCACCAGGTCAAGAGATCGAGGCCATCCTGGCCAACACAGTGAAACCCCATCTCAACTAAAAATATAAAAAAAGCTAGCCGGGCGTGGTGGCACGCACCTGTGGTCCCAGCTACTTGAGAGGCTGAGGCGGAAGAATCGCTTGAACCCAGGAAGCAGAGGATGCAGTGAGCCGAGATTGCGCCACTGCACTCCAGCCTGGTGACAGAGCAAGACTCCCATCTCAAAAAAAAAAAAAAAAAAAAATTGCCCTACAAGGGGCGTGTCCCGCCACATGCTGGGACCAGGGTTCGATGTGGAGTCCCCCTCATCCTGGGAAATGGGGTGTGGCCCAAATGGCGGCCACTCCTTTTTAAAACAAGCAAGTTGGCTGGGCACAGTGGCTCACACCTATAATCCCAGCACGTTGGAAGGCTGAGGCTCGAAGATCTCTCTCTTTTTTTTTTAAAAAAGACAGGGTTTTACCATGTTGGTCAGTCTGGTCTTGAACTCCCGACCTCAGGTGATCCGCCTGCCTTGGCCTCCAAAGTGCTTGGATTACAGGCGTAAGCCACTATACCCAGCTGGCTCGAAGATCTCGAGCCCAGGAATTTGAGACTAGCCTGGGCAACATGGCAAAACCCTGTCTCTACAAAAAAAAAAAAATACAAAAATTAGCCAGGTGTGGTGATGTGTGCCTATAGTCCCAGCTACTAGGGAGGGTAAGCTGGGAGAATCACTTGAGTCCAGGAGCTTGAGGCTATAGTGAGCTGTGATTGTGCCACTGACTCTAGCCTGGGTGACAGAGCAGTACCCTTTCTTAAAAAAAAAAAAAGTTTTGGATGTTCATGTAGACTAAAGTCTTCCCTCACAAACTGTGTCTTCCCCCTTTCTGCAAGGGCTAGGATGAATGAAAACTCAAATAATCAATCCTTTCTTTCTTCGTGTCTTTTGCTTAAATTTCACATTATATTTTTCCCTTTCCTGAGATTTGGTTAGCTAGAACTAAGAGCTTTTCTCTGACAGGGGGTCTATACATAGAAACTTTATTGGCACAAGGCCAGGCACAGTGGCTCATGCCTGTAATCCCCGCACTTTGGGAGGCCAAGATGGGCAAACCACTTGAGGTCAGGAGTTTGAGACAAGCCTGGCCAACATTGTGAAACTCCATCTCTACTAAAAATACAAAAAAAATTTTAGCTGGGCATAGTAGCAGGTGGCTGTAATTCCAGCTACTTGGGATACTGAGGCACAAGAATTGCTTGAACCCAGAGGGTGGAGATTACAATGATGCAGTGAGCTGAGATTGTACCACTGCATTCCAGCCTGGGTGACAGAGTGAGTCTCCGTCTCAAACAAAACACCAAACATTTATTGGCACAGAGCTCAAATCATATGGGAAAAGTTGGCATTGCAAACCAGTCAGCTGCCCAGCCCTTCATTCTGTTTCTGCTCCCGTTGCTCCTCTCAGTGTACAATGAGTAGTCACACTGCAAGACAGCAGGAAGAAAACCCCATCTTCTCTGATCTAATTCCCAATTCCCTGTTCCCACTAGGTTTCTCTAGTCAAGGACACCGGAAGTTCCATTGGTAGAAAACTTTAGCAATGGGACAAAAACACTAAAAGCAGTATGTCCCAGAAAGTGTCAAAACCTGTGTGTACACAAGAGAGCAAACTCAGACTGGGCTTGTACACTCACAGTCTGCTTTTCTTTGCAATTATGAGAATGAATAGGTGGAACCCCACTGGATGCTTATAACAGCCGATCTCCTGAGGCAGAGCCTGGCAAATTGGTTTCAATATTTCTTTATTTTTTTTTAAGATGGAGTCTTGCTTTGTTGCCCAGGCTGGAGCTCAGTGGTGCAATCTCAGCTCACTGCAACCTCTGCCTCCCAGGTTCATGTGATCCTCCTGCCTCAGCCTCCTGAGGAGCTGGGATTACAAGCACATGTCACCACACCAGCTTATTTTTTGTAGTTTAATAGAGAAGGAGTTTCACTGTGTTAGCCATGGTGGTCTTGATCTCCTGATCTGCCTGCCTCGGCCTCCCAAAGTGCTGGGATTACAGGTGTGAGCCACTGTGCCTGGCTGGTTTCAATAATTCTTAACCATATGCATCAGAGTGTCCCTGCTGAGCCACTAAAATGCAGAGTCTGCCTGTTTCTGAGTTGATTCCCACTGTGGTCGGGAATTCGAGACCAGCCTGACCAACATGGAGAAACCCTGTCTTTACTAAAAATACAAAATTAGCCAGGCATGGTGGTGAATGCCTCTAATCCCAGCTACCCTGAAGGCTGAGGCAGAAGAATTGCTTGACTCGGGAGGCGGAGGCTGTGGTGAGCCGAGATTGTGCCATTGTACTCCAGCCTGGGCAACAAGAGCGAGACTCTGTCTCAACAAAAAACAAAACAAAACAACAGATAAATGATATAATCTGATTTAGGTTTTTTAAAAATAATTCTGGTTTTTTTCAGCCTTGCTAGTCCCTTCTTCTTAGTCACTTATGCTGGGTAGTCCCCTATTAAAGTTGTATTGTCCAGCTGAAACCTTAGCCTTGGACTTCTTCTCTATCTGCAACAACTTCCTTGAGATCCCACCCAGTCGTTGTTGTTGTTTTTTGTCTAATTCTGTAGCCCAGGTTGGTGTGTAGTAGTGTAGCCATAGCTCACAGCAACCTTGAACTCCTAAGCTCAGCAATCCTCCTGCCTCAGTTTCTTGAGTAGCTGGGACTACAGATGCATGTCCCTACCCCTACTAAGTTTATTGGGTTTTTTTTTTTTGAGACAGTCTCGCTTTGTCACTCAGACTGAAATGCAGTGGTGAAATCCTGGCTCACAGCAACCTCCACCTCCAGGGTTCTGGTGATCCTCTCTTCCTCCTCAGCCTCTAGAGTAGCTGGGATTACAGGCATCTGCCACCACATCCGGCTAATTTTTATATTTTTAGTAGAATGGGGTTTCACCATGTTCGCCAAGCTGGTCTTGAACTCCTGACCTCAAGTGATCCACCTGCCTTGGCTTCCCAAAGTGCTGGGATTACAGGTGTGAGCCACCATGCCTGGGCCTCTGTGCAAGTTGAAATATCTACCTGGCTGGGCATGGTGGCTCCCGGTTGTAATCCCAGCAATTTGGGAGGCTGTGGCAGGTGGATTCCTTGAATCCAGTAGTTAGAGACCAGTCTGGGCAACATGGCAAAACCTGTTCTCTATTAAAAAAATACATAAATTAACTGAGTGTGATGGTACACACCTGCAGTCTCAGCTACTTGGGGAGCTGAGGCAGGAGGATTGCTTGAGCTCAGGAAGTTGAGGATGCAGTGAGCAGACTGCACCACTGCACTTCAGCCTGGGTGGAGAGCAAGACCCTGTCTCAATAAAAAAAAAAAAAATCATCTATCCAATGACTACTCTCTCCACTGATCCACTGAACCTCTCCACTGAACTCCTGACCCATATATCCTACTGTTTATTCAATAACTCCACTAAATATATAATGGGCATTACAAACTTAAGCCTAACGCCAGACTCCTAATCTTCACTACCTCCCTCACTCCTTTGATCCTTCCCATCTCAGCTAAAACCAACTCCATCCAACCAATTGTGAAGTCATTCTCTTTTTTTTTTTTTTTTAAATTATGGAGTCTTACTCTGTCGCCCAGGCTGAAGTGCAGTGGCACCATCTTGGCTCACTGCAACCTCCACCTCCCGGGTTCAAGCAATTCTCCTGCCTCAGCCTCTCAAGTAGCTGGAATTACAGGCATGCGCCAATACATCTGGCTAATTTTTGTATTTTTAGTAAAGATGGGGTTTCACCATGTTGGTCAGGTTGGTCTCGAACTCCTGACCTAATGATCTGCCTGCCTCGGCCTCCCAAAGTGCTGGGATTACAGGCATGAGCCACTGCTCCTGGCCCATTCTCTTCTTTTCTTATGCCCCATATCCAATCCTAGGCAAATCCTAGTGTTTATAATTTCAAAATATAGCTAGAATCCAACCAATTCACACATCCCCCTGCAACCACTACTGGTACTCCGGTCTAAGCTGCTATTACCTTTTACCTGTATTATTGCAAGAGCTTCCTATGGACTCTCCCTGATTAAAACTTTCCTCTTTATGATCTATTTTTCACACAGCAGCCAGTGTTCCTGTTGAAACTAAAACCTGTCACACTAGTTGCCTACAAGGCCCTACACAAACTGCCTGCCCAACTCCCTACTCCTTTCTAATGCCTAAAGTAGAGCATTAGAATATGCTCTATTTTAGGCATATGGCAAAGAATATGCACTTTTTTGTTGCTGTTGATGTTTCTAAGCCTGTCCACAGGCTAGAGTGCAGTAGCATGATCTTGGCTCACTGTAGTCTTAACTTCCTGGGCTCAGGTGATCCTCCCACCTCAGCCTCTCCAGTAGCTGGGACTATAGGCGTGCACCACCAAGCTCAGCTAATTTTTTATTTTTTGTAAAGACAAGATCTCACTACATCACCCAGGTTAACAACAAAGTATTAAAAATAAAATTTAAAAAAGCCCTGGTTTTTCTTTGTTACCTGGATTCAATGTCAGACAAAGGGATATCACTCCAACTTCCTTCTAAATCCTTATCTCGTCCAAGTTCATTGAATTTCTTGTGGATTTTCTGTTGTAAAAGCTCCTTAAGCTCTGCTAGACACTGAGTGAACTATAAAAGTGAAAAAAAGAACTATTTTGACAATTCATTTTATTTTTATTTTTATTTTTTTTTTGAGATGGAGTCTCGCTCTTGTTACCCAGGCTGGAGTGCAATGGCACGATCTCGGCTCACTGCAACCTCTGCCTCCTGAGTTCAAGCAATTCTCCTACCTCAGCCTCCCGAGTATCTGGGACTACAGGCGTGCGCCACCATGCCCAGCTAATTTTTGTATTTTTAGTAAAGATGGGGTTTCACCTTGTTGACCAGGATGGTCTCGATCTCTTGACCTCGTGATCCACCCACCTCAGCATCCCAAAGTGGACAATTCATTTTATTTATTTATTTATTTGAGATGGACTTTTGCTCTTGTTGCCCAGGCTGGAGTGCAATGGTGTGATCTTGACTCACTGCAACCTCTGCCTCCTAAGTTCAAGCGATTCTCCTGCCTCAGCCTCCTACATAGCTGAAATTGCAGGCATGTGCCACCACACCCAGCTAATCTTGTATTTTTAGTAGAGATGGGGTTTCACTATATTGGTCAGGCTGGTCTCGAACTCCTGACCTCAGGTGATCCACCCGTCTCGGCCTCCTAAATTGCTGGGATTACAGGGGTGAGCCATCGTACCTGGTCCATTTTATTTATTCATCAAGTATTTACTAAGTAAATGCTGAAAGGCATCTTATTTATTGCTGGGAACAAAAAGATGAATAATCTGCATTCCTGCTATTAAGGACATGTTAATAGATAAATTACATAAGCTGGAGGAACAGATAAACAGGGAAGAACATCAATGAGCACTGCTGTAGCCACTTTTCTCTGGCTATAGCCAACTGCTTTTTTTTTTTTTTTCTGAGACAGACTCTCACTCTGTTGCCATGCTGGAGTACAGTGGCCTGATCTCGGTTCACTGCAACCTCCACCTCCTGGCTTCAAGCGATTCTCCTGCCTCAGCCTCCCGAATAGCTGGGACTACAGGTGTGTGCCATGACGATGCCCACCTAATTTTTTTTTCTTTTTTTTGAGACAGACTCTCAGTCTGTTGCCAGGCTGGAGTACAGTGGCGCGATCTCGGTTTACTGCAACCTCTGCCTCCAGGGTTCAAGCAATTCTATTTCAGCCTCCCAGGCAGCTGGGAATACAGGCACCTACCACCATGCCTGGCTTTTTTTTTTTTCTCAGATAGAGTCTTGCTTTGTGGCCAGGTGCCAGGCTGCAGTGCAGTGGCGCAATCTCGGCTCACTGCAACCTCTACCTCCTGAGTTCAAGCAATTCTCCTGCCTCAGCCTCCCGAGTAGCTGGGACTACAGGCGTGCCACATACCCAGCTAATTTTTGTACTTTTTTAGTACAGACAGGGTTTCACCATGTTGGCCAGGATGATCTCAATCTCTTGACCTCGTGATCTGCCCGCCTTGGCCTCCCAAAGTGCTGGGATTACAGGCGTAAGCCACCGCGCCTAGCCTTTTTATTTATTAATTTTATTAAAGATAGGGTTTCAACATGTTAGTCAGCTTGCTTTATTTTTTTTTAGAGACAGGATGTCACCCAGGCTGAAGTGCAGTGGCACAATCATGGCTCACTACAGCCTTAACCTCCCAGGCCCAAGCCTCCCACACCAGCCTCCCCAGTAGCTGGGATTACAAGCACATGCCATCACATCTGGCTAATTTTTGTATTTTTTTGTAGAGACAGTCTCACTTTGTTGCTCAAGCTAATTTCCAACTTTTGGGCTCAAGTGATCACCTGCCTCAGCCGCCCAATGTGCTGGAATTATAGGCATGAGCCACTGTAACCTACTTAGTTTTATTTTTTTGCTCTTTGTTGCCTTTCAAAAGCATACCCTACTTTTTATTTTATTTTTTGATGTAACAAGGAAGGAAAACTTAGAATGAGGTTGTTCAGATTTTGACCCACGGAAAATATGGTTTAACAGACTGTGCTGTGGTTAAATTTTCCTTTTTGTTTTTTGAGAAGGAGTTTCGCTCTTGTCACCCAGGCTGGAGTGCAATGGCACAATCTCGGCTCACCGCAACCTCCGCTTCCTGGGTTCAGGCAATTCTCCTGCCTCAGCCTCCTGAGTAGCTGAGATTACAAGCATGCGCCACCATGTCCAGCTAATTTTTTTGTATTTTTGGTAGAGACGGGGTTTCACCATGTTGACCAGGATGGTCTCGATCTATTGACCTCGTGATCCACCTGCCTTGGCCCCCGCAAAGTGCTGGGATTACAGGCTTGAGCCACCGCGCCCGGCCTCTAAATTTTCCTTTGAATATTTTCATTCAACAGTTGCATCTAGGGTACAGCATTTCCAGTGTTCTTGGGGTCAGCATTTCAGAAGGGGTATGAGAGATGAATTAGAGATCATGAGTACAGATTACCCGCCCCCTTCCGCACTTTTTTTTTTGAGACGGGATCTTGCTCTGTTGCTTAGGCTGGGGAGATCACAGCTCACTGCAGTCTCTCAACCTCCTGGGCTCAAGTGATCCTTCCACCTCACTCTCCTGAATAATTGGGACTATAAGCATGTACTACTATGCTTGGCTAATTTTTTAAAATTCTTTTGTAGAGACTTGGTCCTAGTATGTTTCCCTGGCTGGTCTTGAACTCCTGTGTTCATGTGATTCTCCTGCCTCAGCCTCCCTAAGTGCTGGGATTACAACCAGCCCATACCCCTTTTTAAGAAGGCAAGAGGCCAGGTGCAGTGTGGCTCATGCCTCCCAACGCTTTGGGAGGCTAAAGTGGGAGGATGCTTGATCCCAGGAGTCCAAGACCAGCCTGGGGAACACAGCAAGGCCACATCTCTACAAAAAATACAAAAATTAGCTTGGCATGGTGGTGTGCACCTGTGGTCCTAGCTTCTTGGGAGACTGAGGCAGGAGGATCACTTGGGTCCAGCAATTCAAGTCTGCAGTAAGCTACGATCATGCCACTGTACTTTAGTCTGGGAAACAGAGTGAGACCCTGTCTAAGACAAAAAAAAAAAAAAAAAATGATAAAGGGAGACAGAAATAACCTGCTGGAGGCCAGGTGTGGTGGCTCATGCCCGTAATCCCAGCACTTTGGGAGGCTGAGGTGGGGGGATCACCAGAGGAGTTTGAGACCAGCCTGGTCAACATGGTGAAACCCCATCTCTACTAAAAATACAAACATTAGGGCTGAGCATGGTGGCTCATGCCTGTAAACCCAGCACTTTGGGAGGCCAAGACAGCTGGATTGCTTGAGGCCAGGAGTTCAAGACCAGCCTGGCCAATGTGGTGAAACCCCATCTTTACTAAAAATATAAAAATTAGCCAGCCAGGCAGGGTGGTGCACACCTGCAATCCCAGCTATGCAGGAGGCTGAGGTGGGAGAATTGCCTTAACCCTCTACTGCACTCCAGCCTGGGCGACAGAATGAGACTCTTCCAAAAAAAAAAAAAAAAAAAAAAAAAAACAGAAAGGAGAAAAGAATCTGCTGGAGAAACAAAACTAACGGAAACTTTTGTTTTCAGGATGGGGTAGCTGGAACACTTGTAGAGAAGGGAAAGCAAAGAGAGAGAAAAATTGAGGATATAGACAAAAGAAGAAATTATAATAATCATGATTAGTTTTTTGTTTGTTTTTCAGGAAGACATAATTAATGAAGTGAGACCTCAGAAAAGCTGTAGGGGAAGTTGACAAGTCCACACAGAGCAGGGCTAATTTTGGAGAAGAGAAAAGACATCTGTCCAGGCACAGTGGCTCACGCCTGTAATCCCAGAATTTTGGGAGGCCGAGGCTGATGGATCATCTGAGGTCAGGAGTTCCACACCAGCCTGACCAATATGGTGAAACCTCATCTCTACTAAAAAAAAATCCAAAAATTAGCCGGTCATGATGGTACACTTCTGTAATCCCGGCTAATCAGGAGGCTGAGGAGGGAGAATCCCATGAACCTGGGAGGCAGAGATTGCAGTGAGCTGAGATCTCAAGCCACTGCACTCCAGCCTGGATGACAGAGGGAGACCAGTCTCAAAAAAAAAAAAAAAAAAAAAAGAAAGGAAAGATAATTGGTGTTGTAGCTGGGAGCAGGGGCTCATGCTTGTAATCCCAGCACTTTGAGGCTGAGGCAGGAGGATTACAAACCCAGGAGTTGGAGACTAACCTGATAACAGAGAGAAACCCTGTCTCTATAAAAACTTAAAAATTAGCTGTGTGTGGTGATGCACACTTGTGGTCTCAACTACTTGGGAGGCTAAGGTGTTGAGGCTGCAATAAACCATGATCATGCCATTGCACTTCAGCTTGGGTGATAGAGTGAGACCCTGTCTCAAAAAAAAAAAGAGCTGGGTGTGGTGGCTCATGCCTGTAATCCAAGCACTTTGGAGGCCAAGGCGGGTGGATCATCTGAGGTCGGGAGTTCAAGAACAGCCTGACCAACATGGTGAAACCCCGTCTTTTTTTTTAAAAAAAAAAAGAGTAAGTGTTACCATAGGTAAGCTCAGAAGTGAGGGGAGATGTGTTCTAAAGGACTGCCTCCATCTCCTTGGTGAATTATGAGGTCTTACCATTTGCAGACAGTGAGTAGGGTGGGGGCTTTCTCATTTTCTTTGATTATAAAAACTTCAGAAAACTAGTAAGAGGAAAATAAAGATCGCCTATAATTCCACTGGGCTCACTTTGGACCCATGTGAAACTGATCACAGCAGCATCACCACATTTTTTTTTCTTTCTTTTTTTTATTTTTCTGAGACAGAGTCTCAGTCTTGCTCTGTCATCCAGACTGGAGTGCGGTGGCTCGATATCAGCTCAGTGCAATCTCTGTCTCCTGGGTTCAAGTGATTCTCATGCCTCAGCCTCCTGAGAGCTGGATTACAGGTATACATCACCATGCCCAGCTAATTTTTTGTATTTTGACTAGAGTTGGGGTTTTGCCATGTTGCCCAGGCTGGTCTTGAAACTCCTGAGCTCAGGCAATCTGCCCTCCTCAACCACCCAAAGAGCTAGGATTACAGGTGTGAGCCACCTTGCCTGGCCTGCACCACATTTCTGGAAACCCCATTTTTACCTTTGTTTGGTCAGGATCACAAAGGTCCAGAAGGGTGTCACAGACATGATAACCTAAGGACTTCAGATCTTCAGTGGTAAAGTGGGTGCCTTTTTTACTACCTGGGGAAAAAAAAAAAACACAAACATTTCCAATTAAATTTTAATGACTGAATACAAATCTAATTTATGATTATCTTTTTAAAAATACCACCACTGGCCGGGCACAGTGGTTCACGCCTGTAATCCCAGCACTTTGAGAGACCAAGGTAGGCCCTTTGTGGGAGCCTAGGAGCTCAAGACCAGCCTGGGCAACACAGTGAGACCTTGTTTCTACAAAAAATACAAAAATTAGCCTGATGCTGTGGCATGTGCCTATAGTCCTAGCTACTCAGAAGGCTGAGGCTGGAGGCTAAGGCAGGAGTATCATCTGAGCCAGGGAGGCAGAGGTTGTAGTGAGCTGAGATTGTGCCACTGTGCTCCAGCCTGGGTAACAGAGGGAGACCCTGCCTCAAACAAACAAAACAAAACACCTCTGATTCTAGAATATTATGCTTCAGGAGAGTGTGGCTGTCCTAATTTTCATTTGGTTCAGAAGAATCTTTGGCAACAAAAAAAAATTACAATCATGATGGTTCTAATTACTGAGGTTTTTACTTTGTATTAGGCACTATGGCAAGTGCTCTCCAAGCACCATCTCACTAGGCAGTACCTACAATGCAAGTACTATTATTACTGCCAGTAAAAGAAAAGTGAGGCTGGGCGTGGTGGCTCATGCCTATTGTCCTAGAACTTTGAGCAGCTGAGGCAGGAGGATTGCTTGAGCCAGGGAGTTTGAGACTAGCTTGGGAAACATAGGAAGACTATGTCTTACAAGAAATTAAAAAATTAGCCGGGCACGGTGATGTGCACCTGACTCCCAGCTACACGGGAGGCTGAGGTGGGAGAATCACTTGAGCCAGGGAGGCTGAGACTGCAGAGAGCCATGATCATGCCACTGTACTCTAGCCTGGGTGAAAGAAACCCTGTCTCAGAAAAAAAGAAAAAGGAAGGAAGGAAGGAAAAAGAAAGGAAGGAAGGATGTTAGTTCAAGAAGGTTAGATAATTTACCCGAGAACACAAAACTTGTTTATTTATTTATTTATTTATTTATTTATTTATTTTAGAGAGAAAAAGAGAAAAAGAAGGGGGAAAAAAAGAAAAAGAGGGAAAAAGGAATATTACTTCATTCCTAAAATGGGTTTCAATAATGGCCGATCAATATTTTGAGTGTTTAAAGTGGTTAATGCATATTTTATGTGTTTAAAATGGAGACCTCTATTATGTTTATTTGTTCTGGCTCTGAGTTCAAGTCCTGGATATCGTTATCATTTTGTTGTCTTGTTGAATCTAAATCTCATTATGTGTCTTATGTATCTGGGTGTTAAGATCTCTTATTGTTACATTAATCCTTTTACCCTTGCATCCTTGTAGCTTTGAAATCTATTTTATTAAGTGTGAGAATTGCAACTCCTGCTTTTTATTTATTTATTTTTGCTCTCCATTTGGTTGGTGAGTTTTTTTCCATCCCCTTGTTTTGAGTCTTTGTATATCTTCAGATATATCGTTAGATTTTGTGGATAATGTATATTTTGTGTGTTTAAAATGGAGAGCTCTATTGAGTTTATTTGTTCTGGATCTTAGTTCCAGTCCCGGGTATTGTTATCAATTTGTTGTCTCGTTGAATCTAAATCTCATTATGGGTCTTATGTATCTGGGTGTTAAGATCTCTTATTATTACATTATTCCTTTTACACAAAACTTGTTAATGGTGCTGAAACTCAACCCCCATCAGCCTGATTCCAGGTATTTAGCAACCACTATTCCATACTGCCCCCTCAAATGTTATATTTCACCTTCATATTTTGTGCACTCAAATGTAGCATGTCTAGACAAAGAAATCCTCTAGATCCATTATCTCCCCAGCATTCAAAGGCATTTCATCTCCCTGATGCTTTACTTGGCTTTCTCTTGCCACACTGGTCTAGGATACACAAAGAACGTACCCAGGGTAGAGCCACCAAAGGTAGACTCCATGGTGTAGCTGTTTAGGATTCCCATCCGCCACATCACAACTCGCCCCGTTCCTTCTTTGCATTTTTGGACCTTAAAATTACAACTGTGAAAAGAGAACTAAAAAGAAATCCAAATTTTCTGTTAATCATAAATTGGCCAGTATGAAAGTCTAAGATTCATTAATATGATATAAGAACAGTTTCCTTGGGGTCCATGTATTCTTTCTTTTTTTTGAGACAGAGTTTCGCTGTTGTTACCGAGACTGGAGTACAATGGCACGATCTTGGCTCACCGCAACCTCTGCCTCCTGGGTTCAAGCAATTCTCCTGCCTCAGCCTCCTGAGTAGCTGGGACTACAGGCGCGCACCACCATGCCCAGCTAATTTTTGTATTTTTAGTAGAGACGGGGTTTCACCTTGTTGACCAGGATGGTCTCAGTCTCGATGGTCTCGATCTCTTGACCTCGTGATCCACCCACCTTGGCCTCCCAAAGTGCTGGGATTATACCATGTATTATTTCTTAAAGCATGTTCCACAAAATACTAATTTGGAGGGATGTTAACAGGTATTACGGGGGAAAAAGGAGTTCTGTGGTCACATTAGGGAGATGAAGGGTTAACAAAACTAAACAGGCTTTCTCTGCAAGCCCTTTCAGAGTGTTTAATATGTGGACTGTAATCTTCCAAAGGGAAGAGAGTATATTTGCAATTTGTTTTCCAAACTTTTTTGCCCACGAACCCTTCCTTCCTGTTGTCTCCACCCCACTTCCCCAAGGAGAATTTTGCAGGACTAGGTTTCCTAGATTACCTGTTTGGCATTCAAGGCACTAGCCAACCTTTCTAACCCTTATTTTCTGCCCCTCCCCAAGTTGAACCCCTAAAACTAGTTGTGCTTATCTTCTCTCTATGATATATGTATTCCTTACCCCTGTAAGCTCTGCCTGGAACTCTCTCCCCCTTACATTAACCTTATCACTCGGAGTTCAATATCCTCCGTTATCTTTTATGATCCCTCAGCCCTTGTGTCTCACTTGGAGTTTGTAATATACACTTGGCACCTCTCCCTATTCACCCTATCCTGCTAAAAAGATCTTGCAGTTGGAAGGTATCTCATTGTCCAGTGGTTTTTAAATTGTGCTCTGTGGAACCCAGCGTTCTACTGAGGAGCCTCAGGGCTATTTTTGCTTCAAAGAATGAAGGAGCGGCCGGGCGCGGTGGCTCATGCCTGTAATCCCAGCACTTTGGGAGGTTGAGGTGGGTGGATCATGAGGTCAAGAGATCGAGACCATCCTGGTCAACAAGGTGAAACCCCGTCTCTACTAAAAATACACACACACAAAAAAAAATTAGCTGGGTATGGTGGCGTGTGCCTGTAATCCTAGCTACTCAGGAGGCTGAGGCAGGATAATTGCCTGAACCCAGGAGGCGGAGGTTGCCGTGAGCCGAGATTGTGCCATTGCACTCCAGTCTGGGTAACAAGAGCGAAACTCCGTCTCAAAAAACAAAAAAAAAGAAAGAAAGAAGGAGACACAGGGCGGGCATAGTGGCTCACGCCTATAATCCCAGCTACTCAGGAGGCTGAGGCAGGAGACTAGCTTGAACCCGGGAGGCAGAGGTTGCAGTGAGCTAAGATTGCGCCACTGCATTCTATCTTGGGTGCTTGGGTGACAGAGCGAGACTGTCTCAAAAAAAAAAAGCAAAGAGGAAGGAAGAAAAGCTTCCTCTTTTCTTTTTTTAAACAAATAAGAATAACAATATAAAATGTTAATCTCATATATTTTTATGTTAAAAAACTTGTATTATTATTTAAATACTTTTCTAAGGCCAGGTGCAGCAGCTCACACCTGTAATCCCAGCATGTGAGAAGGCTGAGGTGGAAGGGTCACTTGAACCCAGGAGTTCAAGACCAGCCTGGGCAACATAGTGAGACCCCATCTCTGTCGGGGGGGGGGAAAAAACTTAAAAATATCCAAACTAGGCCAGGCTGGGCATGGTGGCTCACTGCACCCCGCCCCACAGCAATTCTTAAAACCACGCTTTTCACCAGGCACGGTAGCTCACGCTTGTAATCCCAGCACTTTGGGAGGCAGAAGCGGGTGGATCAAGAGGTCAGGAGTTTGAGACCAGCCTGACCAACTTGGTGAAACCCCATCTCTACTAAAAATACAAAATTAGCCGGGCATGATGGTATGCACCTGTAATCCCAGCTACTGGAGAGGCTGAGGCAGAAGACTAGCTTGAACCCTGGAGGCAGAAGTTGCAGTGAGCTATCTTGCCATTGCACTCCAGCCTGGACAAGAGTGTGACTCCATGTCAAAACAAAATAAAATATGCTTTTCTAACTTCTTGAAGTCTAGGTTGCTGGGATTTACCAAAGATAATAAAAAAGAGATACAAAGTGCCAAATAAAACACTACATATAGGGAGTAGCAGTTCCCTTTTCCCTAACTCAATGAACAGAAAATTACATTATGTGCTTACCTTATCTGGTGCATTTTTGCTTAACATTAAAGGAAAAACTCGTTCATGAAGCCAGTACTTGTGATTGTTGTTATTACAGCCATACAGGAAGATATTATTCTTACGACTGTGGCCATGGAAATCACAATACAACAGAACCTCTCTTTCTTCAAGAAGTCTATTGAGGGGGCAAACAAAGGACTCAGTGGACACCCAAATGCATGCAAATAATTAAGGATCATTTGGCATCTCTGCCGTAAGGAAAGTTGTTGATACCTTCCCTCCTAAGAAAATCTCAACTCCAGTGGCCTTCAATGGACCCTCATCTCCATTCTCAGCCACTGCAGAAAACATGTCACCAGCTTGCCTTGTCAGTCAGAAGGACTTGAAATGAAAAAAGTTTTTTTTTTTCTTTTTTGAGACAGGGTGTTGCTCTGTTGCTCAGGCTGGAGTATAGTGGCCTGACCATGCCTCACTTAGCCTTAACCTCCTGGGCTCAAGTCATCCGCCCACCCCTACTATCCAAATACCTCTTGGTAGGTCCCAGAGGGGATTATATCTCAACATGAGATTTGGATGGGGAAAAATACCCAAACTATATCACCCTGTCTCTACAAAAAAAACAACATAAAAAAGAAAGCTTGGTGTAGTGGCATGTGCCTCTAGTCCCAGCTACTTCTGACCTCAAGTGATTCACCTGCCTTTGCCTCCCAAAGTGCTTGGATTAGACATGAACCACCATGCCCAGCCAGGTATTTCTTTATAGCAATGCAAGTACAACCTAATACACAGGTCTCACTATGTTCCCCAGCTTGGTCTCCAACCCCTGGGCTCAAGTGATCCTCCCACCTCGGCCTCTCAAAGTGCTGGGATTACAGGCATGAGTCACTGTGCCTGACCAGAAATGGCAATTTCTGATGTGGAAGGGGGTGGTGGGTAGCCTTGTGTAAGTTGACAAGGAAGTGGAAAAAAACCTATTGAGAAAAAGCCCACCATGGTGCAGACCTGTGAAGAAAGAGAAGGAGACACAGAGTGGGCAGTTGCAGGAAAGAAAAAGAACCAAAGAAAGCCATGGTTCCTGACTTTTGAGGGCTCATTCCTACAAGGCTCAGCTCTTCTTTGTCTCATGATCACCCAGGACACCTATTCCAACTTTCCAAACATGTTCACTTTCTCCGTGATGAGTATAGCAACAACAATACTACACATTTATAACGTGCCACATAATACAGTAAATAGATTATCTCAATCCTCACAGTTACCACCCAAGGCAGATATTATTATTCCCATTCTACAGATAGGAAAGCTGAAGCTCAAACACATTAAATCACTTAGCCAATGTCATAGAACCAACCAGCAGTAAAAACGAAGTCTCAAATTGTAAAAACAAAAGTAAAAACAGTAAAAACGGAAGTCTCAAAGCAGTAAAAACAGCAGTCTCAAACTTAGGCCTGACTCTGAAACACGTGCTCTTAGGTATCATGCTTGCCATGGCGCGATCTCAGTTCACTGCAACGTCTGCCTCCCAGGTTCAAGTGAGTCTCCTGCCTCAGCCTCCCAAGTAGCTGGGATTACAGGCACCCACTACCATGCCTGGCTAATTTTTGTATTTTTAGTAGAGACAGAGTTTTACCATATTGGCTAGGCTGGTCTTGAACTCCAGATCTCAGGTGATATGACCGCCTTGTCCTCCCAAAGTGCTGGGATTACAAGTGTGAGCCACCACGCCGGGCTCACATATTCTTATATGCTGTATTTTCATTTCCAGTGAGATGAAACTTCCTTCAGTGTGGGCACTATTACATTATAGACTTCAATGCTTTTGTACAGGCTTGAAAACTGCTGAGTGATTTTATGATTCTTTCTTTGTGATAGGCAATATAAGATGGTAAAAGGAATTTAGAGTCTGGAACCAGAGAGCCTGTATTTAAATATCTACTCTCACTAGCATTATGACCTTAGGCAAGTTACTTAAATTATCCAGTTCTCAATTTTTTTTTTTTTTGAGACAGAGTCTCGCTCTGTCACCCAGGCTGAAGTGCAGTGGTGCGATCTCCAGTCACTGTAACCCTTACCTCCCTGGTTCAAGTGATTCTCCTGCCTCAGCCTCTTTAATAGTTAGGATTACAGGCACCCCACCACGTCTGGCTAATTTTTGTATTCTTAGTAGAGACTGGGTTTTGCCATGTTAGCCAGGCTGTCTGGAATTCCTGATCCCAGGTGATCCACCCACCACAGCTTCCCAAAGTGCTGGGATTACAGGTGAGCCACCACGCCTAGCCTCGGTTCTCAATTTATCATACAACATGCGATATTGACTGTGCCTACCTCATAGGGTTAATGTGAAGATTAAATGAGTCATGTGTGTAATGTACCTAGCATATACCTTGCCCCTTCATGTGTATGCGCTTACTAATTTTTAGTACTATTAATAGTACACAAATCTCATCATGAAGACCTAAGAACTTCCCTGACCTCTGACTGTTTCCATTCAATTATTTCACTTACAAGTGAAATGACTATTGCTGACATGTTCCATGTCCAGTTTCAACCTAAAGATGAGACACAATTTAAAAGTCTAAAAATTAAGAAAGTCACTTGACTACAAAGAGACTGGTAAGGACTCTGTCTCCAAAGTTATACTCCATTCCTATAACAACAGAAGAGACCTCATACCCCATCAGGTAGGGATATCCGGTGCTAGTACTCGTAACAGTCACAGATCAACAGATAAGTCTCACCATTTGAAAAGAAAAAAAAAGTCTCACCTCTTGATCATGTTCCTGGTGTACCAAATACAAGGGAAAGACTCCTTCAGAATGGTTTTATAATGCCTGTTCAGATCTCTTCCAGCCAAAGAGCACCGATAATTCCCCACAATCACACCATCTGGATTTAACATGGGAAGCACCTTGAAGACAAAAATATCCCTGAGGAGCTGGGCATCTGGGGAGTTGCTAAGAATGAAGTCCAAAAAGCCTTTCATAACCCAGGAGCCATTACTTTCCCCAGGGTGGACTCTGGCACTCAAGACCACAGCCTTTTTTGCAGCTGCCTCTTGAGGGGTCTGGGATGGGTTGGTGATGGTGAGCAGGTAAACGGTATTTCCCGCTAGGCTCCTGCATAAAGTTCGGAGCTTGCAGAACTGGGACTGGATGGGGTTGTTTGCCACTGACAGGAGGTAGCATTGCAAATCAGTGTATGTATATGGGTAGAAGTGTGCAAAGAAGCAAGTGTCCTGGTCATATGGAAACTGAATGGTCCATGTGAGACAGTAGAAGGGCTGCTGCCCATCATCCATGTTGTTTTTGTAGTACTTGATTTCATTTCCTTCTCTCCTCCAGCCAATATTGCGGGTGTCAGCATCCAATTGAGAATACAAGAGTGGCTTCATTCCTACAGTATAAAGACTCTTGGGTTTTAGCAAGTTGACAATGGTGAAGCGATAGGTGGCATCTTTTCTGGTGTTCTGAACACGAAAATAAAACCACTGAGTGTGTTTGTTTGTGTAGAGGTCAGTTTGCAAGGTAAGTTCATACTCATAAGTGTCTCTGTAATGGAGAAAATAGAACAATTCAGTAACCTTACACCGTGCCTGAAAAAACAAATTAGGAAAATGTTGTTTTCTCCTGGTAAAAACAGGTCTTATTACAACAGAAAAACCTGCTGCGTTAATCATTTATTCTCTGTATTCCCAGCACTTTGGGAGGCCGAGGTTGGCGGATTGCCTGAGGTCAGGAATTCAAGACCAGCCTGGCCAACATAGTGAAACCCCGTCACTACAAAAAATACAAGAAAAAAAAAAATTAGCCAGGCGTGGTGTGGGCACCTATAATCCCAGCTACTCGGGAGACTGAGGCAGGAGAATCACTTGAACCCTGGAGACGGAGGTTGCAGTGAGCAGAGACCACACTATTGCACTCCAGCCTGGGCAACAAGAGTGCAAACAACAAAACAGTAACGAGGTAAGCCAGTATGGTGTCACACCCCTGAAGTCCCAGTTACTCCTGAGACTCAGGTGGGAAGATCATATGAGGTCAGGAGTTCGAGGCTGTAGTGTACGATGATTGTACCTGTGAATAGCCAGTGAACTCTAGCATGGGCAACATAGTGAGACACTGTTGCTAAAAACAAATAAAATAAATAAGGAGGTATACCTGTGGTACTGCTATAGAAAAACACCTGAAATTTATGAAGTGGAAAAAAAAAAAGCAATTTGACAATTTGCAAAACAATATGTATGTACCCCATTAACCAATTTTTACTTTAAAAATATTATGATTTATATATATTACACATACACACAGAAAAAAATTAAGGCATATATACCAAACTTAGTATTTGCTGTATCTGGCCAGGCGAGGTGGTTCACGCCTGTTATCCCAGAACTTTGGGAGGCCAGGAGATTGAGACCAGCCTGGTCAACATGATGAAACCCCGTCTCTGCTAAAAATACAAAAATTAAGTCAGGCTCGGTGGCTCATGCCTGTAATCCCAGCATTTTGGGAGCCTGAGGTGGGTGGATCACAAGGTTGAGTTCCAGACCAGCCTGGCTAATGTGGTGAAACCCTGTCTCTACCAAAAAAAAATTAGCTGGGTGTAGTGGCACATGCCTGTAATCCCAGCTACTCCGGAGGCTGAGGCAGAAGAATTGCTTGAACCCCGGAGGCGGAGGTTGCAGTGAGCCAAGATTGTACCACTGCACTCCAGCTTGGGTGATAGAGCAAGCCTCTGTCTCAAAAGAAAAAAAAAATTAGCTGGGTGTGGCTGCACGTGCCTGTAATCCCAGCTATTCGGGAGGCTGAGGCGGGACAATCACTTGAACCACGGAGTCGGAGATTGCAGTGAGCCGAGATCGTGCCACTGCATTCCAATCTGGTGAAAGAGCAAAAAAAATTTTTTTGCTGCATCTAGGAAGTATTACTATAAGACTTTTTAATGTTATACATATTTTTACTAATACAAATTTTAGGTGAGTTGTCATTTCCTTAATAAGCAAATAATTTAGAAAATATTTTGGGGAAAAACATGAGTCATAATTACTCAATTTTTCTTCATCCCCATCACTCCTTTCTTTTTTGCAAATACTCTTGATTCCTAATATCATTCCTGAAGGTTACCCTTCAGTCACTCCAATCATTATCCTTTTGGGAAACTGGTACTTACACTCTGACAGCTTTTTGCAGATTCCCACTCTCAAACCTTGATTCAAATAGTAGAGTATTATCTTCTGGTCCTCGCAACGTGACCCCAAGTTGCTTGATAATTCCTCGTTTGCCTCCCACTCTGGAACTGGTGAAATAGGAACCTTCTGTGGGCACTGTAGATAAAAGAGACATATTTAGGTTAGGTTTTACTAAGAATCTACTCATTCAGCAAATACTGAGACCCTCTATGTGGACAACACTATTCCAGATTAACAACAGTGAATTTTCTAATTTTCAACTATCTTTGTGGAGACTTTTAATTTTCAGTAAGTATTGCTTGGTCGGGCACAGTAGCTTGCGCCTGTAATCCCAGCACTTTGGGAGGCCAAAGCAGGTGGATCACCTGAGGTCAGGAGTTTGAGAAGCCCCATCTCCACTAAAAATATAAAATTAGCTGAGCATGGTGGCACAAGCCTGTAGTCCCAGCTACTTGGGAGGCTGAGGCAGGAGAATTGATTGAACCTGGGAGGCAGAGGTTGCAGTGAGCCGAGATTATGCCATTGCACTCTAGCCTGGGCGACAAGAGTGAGACCTGGTCCCCACACCAAAAAAAAAATATTTCTTTGAAGTCCCTAGGTGTTTTAAAGCACTTCTCATTTTTTGAGACCAAGTTTCACTCCGTTGTCCAGGATGGAGTGCAGTGGCACAATCTCTACTCACTGCAACCTCTGCCTCCCAGGTTCAAGCAATTCTCCTGCCTCAGCCTCCCAAGTAGCTGGGACTACATGCTTGTGCCACCATGCTCAGCTAATTTTTGTATTTTTAGTAGAGACGGGGCTTTGCCATGTTGGCAAGGCTGGTCTTGAACTCCTGACTTCAGGAGATCTGCGAACCTCGGCCTTCCAAAGTGCTGGGATTACAGGAGTGAGCCACTGCGCCTGGCCCAAAGCACTTCCTTTTGCTTCACAGCTACTCTCAGCATTTCAGATACTGCTTGTGCCCATCTAAACCCTAATTTAAGAGGCTGGGCATGGTGGCTCATGCCTGTAATCCCAGCAATTTGGGGGCTCAGGCAGGCAGATCACTTGAGCTCAGGAGTTTGAGACCAACCTAGGCAACATAGTAAAACCCTGTCTCTACTAAAAATATGAAAAATTGGCTGGGCGTGGTGGCACGTGCCTGTGGTCTCAGGTTAAAGAGATCCTCTTACCCAGCACGTGGAGGCTGAGGTAAGAGGATCTCTTTAACCTGAGAGGTGGAGGTTGCAGTGAGGTGAGATCGTGCCACTGCACTCCAACCTGAGCAACAGAGTGAGATCCTGTCAAAAAAAAAAGAAAAGAAAAGAAAACAAAGGGCCGAGCATGGTGGCTAATGCTGTAATCCCAGCACTTTGGGAGGCTGAGGTGAAGGGATCATTTGAGGTCAGGAGTTCGAGACCAAGCTGGCCAACATGGTAAAACCCTGTCTCTACTAAAAATACAAAATTAGCCGGGCATGGTGGCATATGCCTGTAATCCCAGATACTCAGGAGGCTGAAGCAGAAGAATCGCTTGAGCCTGGGAGGTGAAAGTTGCGGCAGGCTGAGAATGTGCCACTGAACTCCAACCTGGGCGACAAAGTGAGACCCTGATTCAAAAAACAAACAAAAAAAAAAAAAAGAGAAAAAAGAAAACAAAGAAATAAATAAACCCTCATTTAAAAAGACGTTGGCTGGGCGCAGTGGCTCATGCCTTAATTCCAGCACTTTGGGAGGCCAAGGCAGGTGGATCACAACGTCAAGAAATCGAGACCATCCTGGCCAACTTGGTGAAACCCCGTCTCTACTAAAAATACAAAAATTAGCTGGTGGCACATGTCTGAAATCCCAGCTACTCGGGAGCCTGAGACAGGAGAATCACTTGAACCCAGAGGTGGAGGCTACAGTGAGCCGAGATCGCGCCACTGCAATCCGGCCTGGCAACAGAGTGAGACTCCATCTCAAAAAAAAAATATATATATATAAAAAAGTAAAAAATAAAAGGATGTGGAGGCCAGGCATGGCGGCTCATGCCTATAATCCCAACACTTTGAGAGGCTGAGGCAAGAGGAATGCTTGAGAAGTTCAAGACCAGCCTGGGCATAATGGTGAGATCCTGTCTCTACCAACAAATTTAAAAATTAGCGAGGCATGGTGGCACATGACTATAGTCTTAGCTATTCAGGAGGCTGAAGCAAGATGACCCCTTGAGCCCAGCAGTTTGAGGATACAATAAGCTATGATCCACCACTGTACTCTAGCCTGTATAACAGAACAACACCCTATCTGTTACTTTTTGAGACAGAGTCACACTCTATTGCCAGGCTGCACAATCTCAGCTCATTGCAACCTCCATCTCCTGGCTTCAAGCAATTCTCCTGCCTCAGCCTCCTGAGCAGCTGGGACTACAGGTTCCCACCACCGCACCTGACTAAGTTTTATATTTTAGTAAAGATGAGGTTTCACCATGTTGGATAGGCTGATCTCGAATTCCCGACCTCGAGTGACCTGCCCACCTTTGCCTCCCAAAGTGCTGGGATTACAGGTGTGAGCCACTGTGTCCAGCCTCTTTTTTCTTTTTTGAGATAGAGTTTTGCTCTTACTGCCCAGGCTGGAGTGCAATGGCGCAATCTTAGCTCACTGCAACCTCTCCTCTTGGGTTCAAGTGATTCTCCTGCCTCAGCCCCCTGAGTAGCTGGGACTAAAGGCACGTGCCACCACACCTGGATAATTTTTACATTTTTAGTAGACACGGGGTTTCTCCATGTTGGTTGGGGTGGTCTTGAACTCCTGATTTCAGGTGATCTGCCTGCCTTGGCCTCCCATAGTCTGGGATTACAGGTGTGAGCCACTAGGCCTGGCCAGGTTAATTTTTAAATATGGTATGAAGTAGGGATTCAACTTCATTCTTCTGAGTGTGGCTATATAGTTATCCCACCACTATTTGTTAAAGAGACCATTCTTTCCCCAGTGAATAGTCTTGGCACCCTTATCAAAAATGAATTGACCAAAAATATATGAGTTTATTTTTGGACTCTGAGTTCTATTTCAGTGATCTATATGCCTACCCCTGCGCCAGGATTATACTGTTTGGATTCTTAAAAATGTGAGTATTCCAATTTTGTACTTTTTTTCTGTATTGGCTATTCAGGGCCCTTTACAATTCCATATAAATTTGGGAATTAGCTTTTCAATTTCTGCATAAAAGCTTTTTGGAAGTTGCTCTTTTAGGGCCATTAGAATTTAGATAGGGTCTGGGCATGGTGGCTCATGCCTGTAATCCCAGTACTTTGGGAGGCCAATGCAGGAGGATCACTTGAGACTTGAGGCCAGGAGTTCCAGACCATCCCGGGAAACATAGCAAGACCCTGTCTCCAAAGAATTAAAAACAAACAACAACAACAACAAAAAAAACGCCAGGCATGGTGGCAAACACCTGTAGTCCTAGCTACTCAGGAGGCTGAGGTAGGAGGATCCCTGAGCCTGGGGGTTGAGGCTGCAGTGAGCCATGTTTGCACCACTGCACTCTAGCCTGGATGACAAAGCAAGACCCTGTCTCAAAAAAAAGATAAAGACAAAGAATTTTTTTTAAAAAAGAATTTGGATAAGGACTGCATTTTAATCTGTAGAATTTCAGGTAATATTGCCTGCCATCTCAATGAAGTTAAATATTCTTGGCCGGGTGTGGCAGCTCACGCCTATAATCCCAGCACTTTGGGAGGCTGAGGCAGGCGGATCACCTGAGGTCAGGAGTTCGATAACAGCCTGGCCAACATGATAAAACACGTCTCCACTAAAAATACAAAAATTAGCTAGGCATGGTGGTGGATGCCTGTAATCCCAGCTACTTGGGAGGTTGAGGCAGGAGAATCGCTTGAACCTGGGAGAAGGAGGTTGCAGTGAGTCGAGATTGCACCATTCCACTCCAGCCTGGGTGACAAGAGCAAAACTCTGTCTCAAAAATTAATAAAAAAAAAAATTCTATCAATTCTAAATCTTCTGGGAAAATTCAAAAAACAAAACAAAACAAATTCTAACCCATGAACATGGAATGCTTTTCCATTTATCTAGGTCTTTAATTTCTTTCAGCAGTGGCTGGGTTTGGTGGCTCATGCCTATAATCCCAGCACTTTGGGAGGCCAAGATGGGCGGATCATGAGGTCAGGAGTTCAAGACCAGCCTGGCCAACATGGTGAAACCCTATCTCTACCAAAGATGCAAAAAATTATCTGAGCATGGTAATGTGAGCCTGTAATCCCAGTCACTTGAGATGCAGAGGCAGGAGAATTGCTTGACCCCAGGAGGTGGAGGTTACAGTGAGCTGAGATCGTGCCACTGCACTCTAGCCTGGGCGACAAAAGTGAAACTGTCTCAAAATATAAAATATACAAATAAATTAAAAAAAAACAGAGGTGGGGAGACAGGCATGGTGGCTCATGCCTGTAATCCTAGCACTTTGGGAGGTCGAGTGGGTAAACTGCCTTGAGCACAGGAATTTGAGACCAGCCTGGGCAATGGTCAAACCCTTTCTCTACTAAAAATGCAAACAATTAGCCGGGCATGGTTGTACACGCCTGTAGTCCCAGCTACTCAGGAGGCTGAGGTGTGAAGATTCATTTGAGCCTGGAAGGTAGAGGCTACAATGAGCCATGTTCATTCTACTGCACCCCAGCCTGGGTGACAGAGGGAGACCTGTCTAAACATGTTTAAAAAAAGTTGGGAAACATTCTTTCCTCTTCTGTTTTCAGAACTGGTGAAATATTGCTATTGTTGGTATTATTATTATTAATTGGTAATATTATTAATATTACCAATATTGGTAATATTGGTATTATTTCATCTTTAAATGTTTAACAGAATTCAAACAAATCAGCCGGGTGTGGTAAGCCCAGTACTGTGGGAGGCTGAGGAAGGTAGATCACTTGAGGCCAGAAGTTTGAGACTAGCCTGGCCAACATGGTAAAACTCTGTCTGTACTAAAAACACACACACAAAAAAAAGATTAGCTGGGCGTGCTGGCACACACCTATAATCCCAGATACTCTGGAGGCTAAGCCACGATAATTGCTTGAACCCAGAAGGTGGAGGTTATAGTGAGCCCAGATCCTGTCACTGCACTCCAGCCTGGGTAACAGAGTGAGTGAGACCCTGACTCAAAAAAAAAAAAAACATTCAGACAAACCTTGTCCAGACATTTGGGCCTGGGTTTTGTTTTTTTTTGAGATGGAGTCTTACTCTGTCACCCATGCTGGAGTGTGGTGGAACGATTTTGGCTCACTGTAACCTCTGCCTCCTAGGTTAAAGCGATTCTCCTGCCTCAGCCTCTTGAGTAGCTGGGATGACAGGCGCACACCACCAGGCCTGGCTAAATTTTGTATTTTTAGTAGAGACAGGATTTCACGATGTTGCCCAGGCTGGTCTCGAACTCCTGACCTCAAATGATCCACCTGCCTCAGACTCCCAAAGTGCTGGGATTACAGGTGTAAGCCACCACGCCAGGCCTACATTCCTATTTTATTTATTTATTTTGAGATGGTGTCTCATTCTGTGGTTCAGGCTGGAGTGCAGTGGCACGATCTCGGCTCACTGCAACCTCCGCCTCCCAGGTTCAAGTGATTCTCTTGCCTCAGCCTTGAGAGTAGCTGGGACTACAGGCATGTGCCACCACATCCGGCTAATTTTTGTATTTTTAGTAGAGATGGGGTTTCACCATGTTAGCCAAGGTGGTCTTGATCCCCTGACCTTGTGATCTGCCCACCTTGGCCTTCCAAAGTGCTGGGATTACAGGTGTGAGCCACCATGCCAGGCCCTACATTCTATCTTTAATTACTACTTTCCTTCTGCTTGTTTTGGGTTTAGTTGGCTCTTATTTTTCCAATTTACTAAGGTAGAAGCTTAAGTAATTAATATACCTTTTTTGTTTTAAAATGTAGGCACTTAAAGCCATAAATACCCATAAATATCCCTGGCACTGGTTCATTTTGTTTTTGCATCCTATGACTTTTGATATGTTGTGGTTTTATTTTCACTACATTCAAAATATTTTTGAAGTGATTTCTTTAACCCACAGGCTATTTAGAAAGATGTTATTCAGTTTCCAAATATTTTTCTCAGATTTCATTCTGTTGTTGATTTCTAGCTTAATTTTATTTGGTCATAGAATGTACTTTGTATGATTTTAATCCTTTTATAGGTATGAAGACTTGCTTTATGGCCTAGCATATGGTTTATCCTGGGGAATTAAACAAGTGCCCTTAAAAAGAATGTGTATGACTTCAGGGCCAGGCACAGTGGCTCACACCTGTAATCCCAGTAGTTTGGGAGGCTGATGCGGGTGGATCACCTGACATCATGAGTTTAAGACTGGCATGGCCAACATGGTTGAAACCCTGTCTCTACTAAAAAACAAATACAAAAATTAGCCAGGTGTGGTGGCAGGCACCCGTAATCCCAGCTACTCAGGAGGCTGAGGCAGGAGAATCGCTTGAACCCTGGAGGTGGAGTTTGCAGTGAACCAAGATCACACCACTACACTCCAGCCTAGGCGAAAGAGCAAGACTCCGTCTCAAAAAAAAAAAAAATGTGTGTGACTTCAGTAGGATTGACGAAAAGAAAAGTGTGTATTTTGTTGTTGGGTATGTTATGTTGTTCCGCATATTTCGAGAAAAGACATATATTCAACCCCTAGAAGCTTAAAACTCAACGCAGGAAACTGAATTACTAAATGACAGTCATATGCACACAGAACAAAGTACTCACTAAAGTACATTGAGGAGGTGGAGAAAAGAAGAATAATCTCCCCAAAGATGATTCAACATCTGATTCTCAGGAAGGAGAATAACAAGGGAGAAGCTATCAAATGGACTTAGAACTATTAAGAATAATGGACTTTGATTTTAGAAAATTACCGAAATTTTACAGCAGACTAGTTATGACTCCTCCTCCAGGCTCCCACTCAGGTTGGCCTGGAAATGAGTTTATCACTCATTAAATTAAAAATCCACTAAAAAACCATGGATTTTTAATTTTTATTATGGAAAATATGTTTGTCATGATTAACCACTCAGTGTTCAGTGTAATGACAATACCTGAATCTAATTGATAGACAACCGTTCCTTTTTTCTCTCCTACAATCTCTGGTACCTTTTCATTTCCTGTAGGTTGATATAAATATTCTGGTTGAGGTGGAGCCCACTCTGAAAGAAAACATTTTAAAGAGAACAAAATAAGAAATAATGTAAAAGGCACTATCAGAACTAACATAAAATAATAATAATAATAATAATAATTTTTCAAACGGCTAGTTTGATTGAATCAAACCAAATTCCCACCCTAAATTTCCTGCTTGTTTATAAAATAATTATGTCATGTTTCTTTCCATAAAGACTTATGAGGACATTTTTAACAAGCAGTATATAAAATGAAATAATAAACTATACATAGAAGACCTAAAAATAAGTCAGAAAGGTCAAGATAGCTGCTGTGACAAATCTTGAAAATTTGGGAGGGGAATGATCCAAGATGGCCGATCGATAACAGTTTGGGATTGCAGCTCTCAGTCAAAGCGCAGAGAACTAGAGGACGCCACACTTTCAGACAAATTCTGGTCGCTAACGGAGCAGAAGATCCCCAGTGGAGGAAGCACACGGGTCGCCAGCATGACTCTTGTGGCCGGCGCAGCAGTTTCACCAGCACCTTGGTGCAGCAGCTCTCGGAGCAGAGTAAACAGGGCCGGCTCCCCTTCTGACGGAGGCTTGGAGGACCCACATGGGTCGCCAGCGCGACTCTTGTGGCCGGCGCAGCGGTTTCACCAGCACCTTGGTGCGGCAGCTTTCGGAGCAGAGTAAACAGGGCCGGCTCCCCTTCTGACGGAGGCTTGGAGGACCCACACGGGTCGCCAGCGCGACTCTTGAGGCTGGCCCAGCGGTTTTGCCAGCTCCTCGGCGAGGCAGCTCTCGGCACAGAGTAAACGAGACTGGTTCCCATTCTGACCAAGGTTTGGAGCCCCAGGAAGGCAGAGTCGCCCATTACGGACACAAGAAGGAAGCCAGACAGGAGAATCCTGGGCAGAAAAGCACCATCAGTCTTAACGCCACCGTTCTGGCCCTGGGAACTAACAACTTGGACATCCACTTAAGAGACCTAATCTGAAAGTTGGTAATTTCAAAGACGACAGGAGGATAAATTTACAATGATGGGAAGAAACCAGCATAAAAAGGCTGAGAATACTCAAAATCAGAACGCCTTTCCCTCTAAAGATGATCACAGTTCCACATCAACAATGGAACAAGGCTTGATGGAGAACGAGCGCATCCCAATGACAGAATCACTCTTCAGGGAATGGATAATAAGAAACTTCTGTGAGTTAAAAGAACATGTTGTAGCCCGACATAAAAAAACTAGGAACTTTGAAAAAAGGTTTGACGAAATCCTATTGAGAACAGACAACTTAGAGAGGAATATAAGTGAATTAATGAAACTGAAGAATACAATACAGGAACTCCGAGAAGTATGCACAGGTTTAAACACTCGAATTGTTCAAGCAGAAGAAAGGATAACAGAGGTCAAAGTCCAACTTAATGAAAGAAAACAAGAAGACAAGATTAGAGATAAAAGGATAAAAAGGAATGAGCAAAGTCTCCAAGAAATGTGGGACTATGTGAAAAGACCAAATTTACGTTTGATAGGGTACCTGAATGCGACAGAGAGAATGAATCCAAGCTGGAAAATACCCTTCAGGATATTATTCAGGAAAATTTTCCTAAACTAGCAAAGCAGGTCAATATTCAACCCCAGGTAATACAGAGAACACCACAAAGATATTCCTCAAGAAGAGCAACCCCAAGGCACATAATTGTTAGATTCACCACGGTTGAAATGAAGGAGAAAATACTAAGGGCGGCCAGAGAGAAAGGTCAGGTTACCCACAAAGGCAAGCCTATCAGACTTAAGCAGATCTCTCAGCAGAAACTCTATAAGCCAGAAGAGAATGGGGGCCAATATTCAACATCCTCAAAGAACAGAACCTTCAGCCCAGAATTTCATATCCAGCCAAACTAAGCTTCACAACTGAAGGAAAAATAAAATCTTTTATGAACAAGCAAGTACTCAGAGATTTTATTACCACCAGGCCTGCTTTACAAGAGCTTCTGAAAGAGGCATTACACACAGAAAGAAACAACCAGTATTAGCCTTACTAAAAATATACCAAAAAGTAAAGAGCACCAACATAAAGAAGAATTTTCATCAATGAATGGATCAAACAGCCAGTTAACATCAAATGGCAGTAACCCTAAATTTAAATCGACTAAATCCCTCAATCAAAAGACACAGCCAAAACCCAACGGCATGTTGCATCTAGACCTGTTTCACATGCAAGGATACACAAAGACTCAAAACAAAGGAATGGAGAAAGATTTACCAACCAAATGGAGAGCAAAAATAAATAAATAAATAAAAAGCAGGAGTTGCAATTCTCGTAGCGGATAAAATAGATTTTAAAGCAACAAAGATATAGTGGTAAAAGAATCAATGCAACAAGAGCTAACAATCCTAACACCCAGATACGTAGAGACTTAGATTCAATGAGACAGAAAATTAATAAGGATATCAAGGACTCGAACTCAGATACGGAATAAGTAAACTTAATAAATATTTATAGAGCTCTCCACTTCAAATACATAAAATATACATTCTTGTCAATACCACATCACACCTACTCATAGGTTTAAATGAAACATTGATTGGCCATTATTAATACCCATTTTTTTCAGAATAAAGCAGTATTTCCTTTCACCCTCCCTCCCTCCCTCTCTTCCTCTTTCTTTCTCTCCTTTACTCATTTTTTTTCTTCTTTCCTTCTCTCAAAAAAAGAAATCAACTTGTAAACCTCTAGATCCAGGTCGGCAATGTCTCTCTCATTGCTTGAATTCCTTCCTTCCCTTCCCTTCCTTCCCTCCCTCCCTCCCTCCCTTCCCCCCTCCCCCCTTCCTTCCTTCCTTCATCCCTTCCTTCCTCCCTCTCTTCCTCCTTCCCTCCCTTACTGCCTTCTTCCTTTCCTCCTTCCCTCCCTTCCTGCCTTCCTCCTTTCCTCCTTCCCTCCCTACAAAAAAAAAAGAAAATTTGGTCTTGAGCTTCCTTAAAGTCAGCAAAATATGGTCAGCTACATAATTTTTATTACTATAGAGGAATACGTCTATCAATTGTTTCAGAGGAAGTACAAGGCTTTTTTGTTAACATCGAATTAAAAAAAATTTCTTTGGCTGGGTGTGGTGGCTGATGCCTATAATCCCAGCACTTTGAGAGGACAAGGTGGGCGGATTACCTGACATCAGGAGTTCGAGACCAGCCTGGCCAACATAGTGAAACCTCATCTTTACTAAAAATACAAACATTAGCTGGGTATGGTGTGTGTCTGTAGTTCCAGCTACCCGGGAGGCTGAGGCAGGAGAATAGCTTAAACTTAGGAGGTAGAGGTTGCAGTGAACTGAGATCATGCCACTACAATCAGCCTGGGTGACAGAGCAAGAATCTGTCTTTAAATAATTAACGAATTAATTATTTAAAAAAAGATTTCTTTTATGGAAATTGAACAACTCTTCAATATCATTTTTAGTACAGCAGCCACTGATGAATTCCAAGAGCATATAAAGATACAACTCAGTAAAATATTATATGAATTTCTTTTCTCAAAGATTATGGGAATTGATGAAGCTTTAACAATTTAAACAATAAGGTACTTGTTAAGTTTCTTTGAAACTTTTTAAAAATTGCCTTTTAAAAGACCTTATAGTTTAGTTAATTACCACAGCATTAACTTGGTTATTAAATTTCAGTTTCCTTTCTGGGGGTGGCTACGCACACCTGTAATCTCAGCACTTTAGGAAGCCAGGAGGATCATTTGAGGCCAGAAGTCTGGGAGTAGCCTGGGCAACATAGTGAGACCATATGTCTCTACAAAAAAACTTTTTAACGTGGTGGCAGGCGCCTATAATCCCAGCCACTTGGGAGGCTAAGCCAGGAGAATCACTTGAACTCAGGAGGCGGAGGTTGCAGTGAGCCGAGACCCAGCAAGCCTAGGCAACAAAGCGAGACTTCATCTCAAAAGCAAAAAAAAAAAACCAAAAAACAAAACCAAAACCGAAAAACTTTTCAAAAATTAGCCAGGTGGCTGGGTGCGGTAGCTCATATATGTAATGACTAGAGGTCAGGAGTTCGAGACCACCCTGGGCAATATGGTGAAACCCCCTCTCTACTGAAAATACAAAAATTAGCCGGGCATGGTGGCACATGCCTGTAATCCCAGCTACTTGGAAGGCTGAGAGGTAAGAGAACTGCTTGAGCCCAGGAAGTGGAGGTTGCAGTGAGCCAAGATCATGCCACTGCATGCCAGCCTGGGCAACTCCATTTTTTAGAATGGAGCAAGACTCTTTTAATTCTTAAAAAAAAAAATTAGTGGCACAAGCCTATAGTACTAGCTACTCAGGAGGCTGAGTGGGGAGGATGGTTTGTGCCCAGGAGTTCAAGGCTGCGGTGAGCCGAGATCACACCATTGCACTCCAGCCTGGGTAACAAGAGTGAAACTCCGTCTCAAAAAAAAAAAAAAAAAAAGAAAAACAAAAAGAAAACCTATGCTGATCTCTAAGCTGGATTAGGTGTGCTCAGAGGGACCAAGCACTAAGCAATTGTCTGGTAAAATGTTTAATTTCCCCACTAGTTTATGAACTCTGGGTCCACGAACTCTCCACTTTGTTCATCACTATTATCTCTTAGCACCAAGCACTGTACTTAGGATATGACAACACATATGAATGAGTACTATAAGCAGGGAGACAAGAAAATGAGGAACATCCAGTTGTTTATCCAGCAGTATAAAGGAGAGACATACATGATGCTAGACTTAATTGTTCTGGTAATTAGAGAAGTCCCCACTTTCTAATGCAACCACTTCCATAAATGCTTAATCCGTAAAATGGATGCAGTAGATTGTACTTGCTCCAAGAGCTCACAGATATGACTTATAATGTCATAAAAAAGTCTCCAAAATTCCAACAAGAAAACTCCAATAAACTCAAATTATAATTTAAAACAGTAAAAACTATGTTCTGGTATATGTAGTCTTCAATTATACCAAGGCTGATAAAACTACAACTCAACCAAATACATTAATACTGAGACAGGGTAGCTCCTCTGGTATTTGTTTGTTTGTTTGTTTGTTTTTTGAGATGGAATCTCACTCTGTCACCAGGCTGGAGTGCAGTGGTGCAATCTTGGCTCACTGCAACCTCTGCCTCCCAGGTTCAAGCCATTCTCCTGCCTCAGCCTCCCAAGTAGCTGGGACTACAGGTGCGCACCACCATGCCTGGCTAATTTTTTGTATTTTTAGTAGAGACAGGGTTTCACCATGTTAGCCAGGATGGTCTTAATCTCCTGACCTGGTGATCCCTATGCCTTGGCCTCCCAAAGTGCTGGGATTACAGGTGTGAGCCACTGTGCCCTGCTGCTCCTCTGTATTTTTAGATGAGATGCTATGACCTCCCCCCAAAAACAGAAAAAGGGGAAAAAAAAGCACTGAAACAGGTTAATCTAGAAAATAGACTTCAGTATTTTATGTATTTGGCATCTAGGAAGGTATCCTCTTGTTCTGAAAAACTTAGAAGTATTCTAGTTTACATTAGTGTAACTTGATTTTGGTAAGTGTATATCACTTTCTCACAGTTCAGTTTTTTTCAGGATGAGTTAACAGATGTTGACGTAGGCCAGGTGCAGTGGTTCATGCCTGTAATCCCAGCACTTTGGGAGCCCAAGGTGGATGAATCACTGAGTGTCAGGAGTTTGAGACCAGCCTGGCCATCATGGCGAAAACCCGACTCTACTGAAAAGACAAAAACTAGCTGGGCGTGGTGGCAGGTGCCTGTAATCCCAGCTACTTGGGAGGCTGAGGCAGGAGAATTGCTTGAACCTGGGATGTGGGGGTTGCAGTGAGCAGAGATTTCCCCACTGCACTCCAGCGTGGGTGACAGAGCGAAACTGTCTCAAATGAATGAATGAATGAATGAATGTTGACTCTGTCCTGCTTTATGCTTAAGCACACAGGATTTAACATTCTCAGGTCTTGTAATAAAGTCAAGTAGAATGGCAAAACCACTACATATAAGTCATATTACCAATATGATGAATGTTTTCCTTGATGACCTCACATTCAGTTGGCCATCTTGGAGCCTGCAGTGGCCCCTTGGTAGACAAAATGGAAAAGAGCTCTCGGGGTTCTCGAAGACGTGGGTTTATTTCATTCAACTCATCATAAAGAAGCTGTCTGCTCCTAAGACGTGGTGAACTCAGCACGTGTGAATCTGCCAAAGGGAAAGAGTAAGTGAACATCTACCTTTTCCTCCTTGGGAACTTTACTGCTCATCTATAACAATGAAACTACTTTAAGCATTATATTAAAATATTAGCACAGATATAAGATTCTATGACATGTTTCTCCTTCAAGAAGATTTAATCCAGAATAACAGGTTCAAAATTATAAAATGTTAAAATTCTGCACAGTCTATTAAATATTTAAATATAAAGCTTTAGAGTAATTAAAAACCTTTTTTTTTTAGTTAAAGTTTATGGTCCAAGACATTTCAATAGTGGGTTGCAATGAATACAAAGTTACTTAATGTGTTTTATTACTTTTGTTTAGCTAGTGGCAAGAGAGGGAATTTCAATATATCCATTAGCATTTTAGAAAAAAATATATAAAACTTTATCAACTATAGTGAAATAATCTACAAATTAAATTTCAGGGCCATAATATAACCATAAAAAGGAAAGACACACATTAAACAAAGATGGAAAGAGGAAGGGGAGAGAAAGAGTGACATGGGGCAGAACAGAGGAGGGAGAGCTCTTGGGAAAGAAAGAAGGAGAAAAAAAGAAAAGAAAGGCTTTCAGGGAGATAAAAAAGAAAGGAGGCTAGGCAGGGTGGCTCATGCCTGTAATCCCAGCACTTTAGGAGGCTGAGGTGGACGGATCACCTGACATCAAGAGTTCAAGACCAGGCCGGGTGTGGTGGCTCACGCCTATAATCCCAGCACTTTGGGAGGCCAAGGCGGGTGGATCACGAGGTCAAGGGATCAAGACTATCCTGGTCAACATGGTGAAACCCCGTCTCTACTAAAAATACAAAAAAATTAGCTGGGCATGGTGGCGCATGCCTGTAATCCCAGCTACTCAGGAGGCTGAGGCAGGAGAATTGCCTGAACCCAGGAGGCGGAGGTTGTGGTGAGTTGAGATCGCGCCATTGCACTCCAGATTGGGTAACAAGAGCGAAACTCCACCTCAAAAAAAAAAAAAAAAAAAAAGAGTTCAAGACCAGCCTGGCCAACGTGGTGAAACCCTGTCTCTACTAAAAATACAAAAATCAGCCAGGTGTGGTGACATATGCCTGTAATCCCAGCTACTCGGGAGGCTGAGGCAGAAGAATCACTTGAACCTGAGGTAGTGGTTGCAGTGAGCTGAGACTGGGCCATTGCACTCCAACTTAAGCAGCAGAGTGAGATCCCTTCTCAAAAAAAAAAAAAAAAAGGAAATTTACCTTAAAGATTTTCTCACAAAAGCTTGTCAAGATACATATATAATGCTGCTCATCACAGCAACGGTCAAATAATAAAAAAGTACCCTTGCAACAAAGATGAAAAAAAAGAAAAAAGCAAGAAAAAATGCTCAGAAAAAAAAAAGTGGAAACAATCAAGATATCCATCAAAAATGGAGTTAAAATAATTGTGAAGGCTGGGCACAGTGGTTCATGCCTGTAATCCTTTACTTTTGGAAGCTGAGGCAGGCGGACTGTCTGAGGTCAGGAGTTTGAGACTAGCCTGACCAACATGGTGAAACCCCATCTCTAAAAATAAACCTGTATTTTGGCATGCACCTGTAGTCCCAGCTACTCAGGAGTTGAGACAGGAGAATTGCGTGGACCCGGGAGGTAGAGGTTGCAGTGAGCCAAGACCAGGCCATTGCATTCTAGCCTGGGCAACAAGAGCGAAACTCTGTCTCAAAAAAATAAAAATAAAAATAAATAATTGTGGGCTGGGCGTGGTGGCTCACACCTGTAATCCAGCACTTTGTGAGGCCAAGGCAGGCAGATCACAAGGTTGGGAGTTGAAGACCAGCCTGGCCAGCAAGGTGAAACACTGTCTCTACTAAAAAGACAAAAAAATTGGCCAGGCTCGGTGGCTCACACCTGTAATCCTAGCACTTTGGGAGGCTGAAGCAGGCGGATCACGAGGTCAGGAGACTGAGAGCATCCTGGCCAACATGGTGAAACCCGTCTCTACTAAAAATACAAAAATTAGCTGGGCGTGATGGTGTGCACCTGTAGTCCCAGCTACTCAGGAGGCTGAGGCAGGAGAATTGCTTGAACCCAGGAGATGGAGGTGGAGGTAAGCCGAGATCACGCCACTGCACTCCAGCCTGGCAACAGAGCAAGACTGTCTCAAAAACAAAAATTAATAAAAATAAAAAAAATTAGCCGGGTGTGGTGGCAGGCACCTGTAATCCCAACTACTTGGGAGGCTGAGGCAGGAGAATTGTTTGAACCCACGTGGCGGAGGTGGATTCAAACGTGAGACGAGATCATGCCACTGTACTCCAGCCTGGGTGACAGAACAAGACTGTCTCGAGGAAAAAAAAATAAATAAAAATTGTGGAATACAATAGGTGCCCTTAAAAAGAATGGGATAAAGGCAAGAGAGCAAGATGCTGTCTCAAAAAAAAAAAAAAAAAAAAAATCAACTTTTGGAGAGATCCAAGATGGCTGTCTATCAGCAGCTCAGTGTTGCAGCTCCCAGTGAAGTCACAGGGACTGAGTGGATGCCAGACTTCCAGACGAATTTTTGTTGTTTACGGACCCGGAGATTCCCAGCAGAGGAGCCCCATGGGTCGCCAGTGGGACTCTTTTGGCCAGCGCGGCTGTTTTGCCGGCGTCCCAGCGCAGCGGTTCTCAGTGCGGAGTATGCGGGACTGGGTGCCCTTTTAGTTGGCGTTTGAAGCTCCAAGAAGGCAGAATCACCCATTCAGCTGATTGGGAGGGGGACTGAAGCCGGGAGCCAGACCGGGAGATTCCTGGGCAAAAAAGCGCCACGAATCTCAGTGCCGCTGTTTCAGCCACCGCACGGGAAATTGCATAGATCCCGGCACCTTTTCGGTGGGCGACTGGGGCACCTGGGAGAGAATCGACCGTTCAATTAGGAAAAGAAAAAAAGGGGGCTCTGAGGCAGGGATCCAGGTGAGTGGGCTCAACTGGTCCCACCCCAACAAAAAAACAGCAATTGGAAATGCTGATGGTTGAGAGTTTCACAGCAAGCACAGCTGAACCCGGGAAGGTCCAGCTCTGTGAGGGAGGGGCGTCAGCCAAAGGAAAACAAAGAAACAGGAATAACATCACCACCAACAATCTGGATGTCCACTCAGAGACCCAATCTGAAAGTCAGCAATTACAAAGACGACAAGTGGATAAATCCACAAAGATGGGAAGAAACCAGCACAAAAAGGCTGAAAACATCCAAAATCAGAATGCCTCTCCTCCTTCAGGGAATCGTAGCTCCTCATCAGCAAGGAAACAAGGACTGATGGAGAACGAGTGTGATGAATTGTCAGAATCAGGCTTCAGAAGGTGGATAATAAGAAACTTCTATGAGCTAAAAGAATATGTTCCAAGCCAATGCAAAGAAACTAAGAACCTTGAAAAAAGGTTTGACAAATGCTAAGGAGAATAGACAATTTAGAGAGGAATATAAGAGCTGAAAAACACAACACGAGAACTTTGTGAAGTATGCACAAGTTTTAACAGTCGAATTGATCAAGCAGAAGAAAGGATATCAGAGGTCGAAGACCAACTCAATGAAATAAAATGAGAAGACAAGATTAGAGAAAGAAGGATAAAAAGGGATGGGCAAAGTCTCCAAGAAATATGGGACTATGTGAAAAGACCTAATCTATGTTTGATAGGTGTACCTGAATGTGACGAAGAGAATGAATCCAAGCTGGAAAATACTTTTCAGGATATTATTCAGGAAAACTTTCCCAACCTAGCTAGGCATGACAATATTCAACTACAGGTAGTACAGAGAACGCCACAAAGATATTCCTCAAGAGAGCAACCCCAAGGCACATAATAGTCATATTCCCCAGGGTTGAAATTAAGGAGAAAATGCTAAGGGCAGCCAGAAAGGTCGGGTTACCCACAAACAGAAGCCTATCAAACTCACAGCAGATCTCTCAGCAGAAACCCTACAAGCCAGAAGAGAGTAGGGGGCAATATTCAACATCCTTAAAGAAAAGAACTTTCAACCCAGAATTTCCTGTCCAGCCAAACTAAGCTTCACAAGTGAAGGAAAAATAAAATCTTTTGTGAACAAGCAAGTACTTAGAGATTTCATCACCACCAGGCCTGCTTTACAAGAGCTTCTGAAAGAAGCACTACACATAGAAAGGAACAACCAGTATCAGCCTTTCCAAAAATATAATAAAAAGTAAAGAGCATCAACATAATGAAGAATTTACATCAACTAATGGGCAAAACAGCCAGCTAGCATCAAATGGCAGTATTAAACACACCTATATTATTATTAATCCTAAATTTAAATTGACTAAATCCCCCAATCAAAAGACACAGACAGGCAGATTGGATGGAAAGCCAAAACCCATCGGTATGCTGCGTCCAGACCCATCTCGCATGCAAGGATACACAAAGACTCAAAACAAAGGGATGGAAGAAGATTTACCAACCAAATGGAGAGCAAAAATAAATAAATAAAGAGCAGGAGTTGCAATTCTCACCTCTGATAAAATAGACTTTAAAGCAACAAAGATCAAAAGAGGCAAAGAAGGACATTACGTAATGGTAAAAGAATCAATGCAACAAGAAGAGCTAACGTTCCTAAATATATACACACGGAATACAGGAGCACCCAGATACATAAGACAAGCTCTTAATGACTTATAACGAGACTTAGGGGAACGATCCAAGATGGCCGATCGCTAACATCCCGGGATTGCAGCTCTCAGGGAAGGCGCGGAGAACTAGAGGACGCCACACTTTCAGACAAAGTCTGGTCGCTCACGAAGCAGAAGATCCCCCAGTGGTGGAAACACACGAGTCGCCAGCGCGACTCTCATGGTCGGCGCAGCGGTTCCGCTGGCACCTCGACGCGGCAGCACTCGGCGCAGAGTAAACGGGACCGGTTCCCCTTCTGACCGAGGTTTGGAGCCCCGGGAAGGCAGAGTCGCCTACTACGGAAACAAGAAGGAAGCCCGACAGGAGAATCCTGGGCAGAAAAGCACCATCAGTTTTAACGTCGCTGCTCTGGCCCTGGGAACTAACAACCTGGACGTCCACTCAAGAGACCTAATCTGAAAGTTGGTAATTTCAAAGACGACAGGAGGATAAATTTACAATGACGGGAAGAAACCAGCGTAAAAAAGCTGAGAATACGCAAAGTCAGAACGCCTCTCCCTCTAAAGATGATCACAGTTCCACATCGACAATGGAACAAGGCTTGATGGAGAACGAGCGCCTCCTGATGACAGAATCACTCTTCAAGGAATGGATAATAACAAACTACGGTGAGTTAAAAGAACATGTTGTAGCCCAATGTAAAGAAACTAGGAACTTTGAAAAAAGGTTTGATGAAATCCTATTGAGAATAGACAACTTAGAGAGGAGTATGAGTGAATTAATGGAAATGAAGAATACAATACAGGAACTCTGAGAAGTATGCACAGGTTTAAACACTCGAATTGTTCAAGCAGAAGAAGGGATCTCAGAGATCAAAGTCCAACTTAATGAAATAAAACGTGAAGAAAAGATTAGAGAAAAAAGGATAAAAAGGAATGAGCAAAGTCTCCAAGAAATGTGGGACTATGTGAAAAGACCAAATTTACGTTTGATAGGTGTACCTGAATGCGACGGAGAGAATGAATCCAAGCTGGAAAATACCCTTCAGGATATTATTCAGGAAAATTTTCCTAAACTAGCAAAGCAGGTCAACATTCAACCCCAGGTAATACAGAGAACACCACAAAGATATTCCTCAAGAAGAGCAACCCCAAGGCACATAATCGTTAGATTCACCAGGGTTGAAACCAAGGAGAAGATACTAAGGGCAGCCAGAGAGAAAGGTCAGATTACCCACAAAGGCAAGCCTATCAGACTTACAGCAGATCTCTCGGCAGAAACTCTACAGGCCAGAAGAGAGTGGGAGCCAATATTCAACATCCTCAAAGAACAGAACCTTCAGCCCAGAATTTCATATCCAGCCAAACTAAGCTTCACAACTGAAGGAAAAATAAAATCTTTTATGAACAAGCAAGAACTCAGAGATTTTATTACCACCAGGCCTGCTTTACAAGAGCTTCTGAAAGAGGCATTACACACAGAAAGAAACAACCAGTATTAGCCTTTCTAAAAATACACCAAAAAGTAAAGAGCACCAACATAAAGAAGAATTTACACGAACGAATGGATAAAACAGCCAGTCAACATCAAATGGCAGTAACCCTAAATTTAAATTGACTAAATTCCCAATCAAAAGACACAGCCAAAACCCAATGGCATGTTACATCCAGACCTGTTTCACATGCAAGGATACACAAAGACTCAAAACAAAGGAATGGAGAAAGATTTACCAACCAAATGGAGAGCAAAAATGAATAATAAATAAATAAAAAGCAGGAGTTGCAATTCTCGTATCAGATAAGATAGATTTTAAAGCAACAAAGATATAGTGGTAAAAGGATCAATGCAACAACAAGAGCTAACGATCCTAACACCCAGATAGGAGACTTAGATTCAATGAGACAGAAAATTAATAAGGATATCAAGGACCCGAACTCAGATCCAGAACAAGTAAACTTAATAAATATTTATAGAGCTCTCCACTTCAAATACACAAAATATACATTCTTGTCAATACCACATCACACCTACCCATAAGTTTAAATGAAACATTGATTGGCCATTATTAATACCCAATTTTTTTCAAAATAAAGCAATATTTCCATTTACTCTCCCTCTTTCTCTTCCTCTTTCTTTCTCTCCTTTACTTATTTTTTTTTTTTCTTTCCTTCTCTCAAAAAAAAAGAAATCAACTTGTAAACCTCTAGATCCAGGTCGGCAATGTCTCTTTCATTGCTTGATTTCCTTTCTTCCCTTCCCTCCCTCCCTCCCTCCCTCCCTCCCCGCTTCCTCCCTTCCTTCCTTCATTCATCCCTTCCTTCCTCCCTACCGTCCTTATTCCCTTCCTTCCTGCCTTCCTCCCCCGCCCAAAAAAAAAAGAAAAAAAAAAAAAAAAAAAAAGAGACTTAGACTCCCATACGATAATAGTGGGAGACTTTAACATCACATAGTCAATATTAGACAGATCAACGAGACAGAAAATTAACAAGCATATCCAGGACTTGAACTCAGACCCGGAAGAAGTAAACTTAATAAACATTTATAGACCTCTCCACCCCAAATACACAAAACATACATTCTTATCAGTACTACATCACACCTACTCTAAAAGTGACTACAAGGCTGGGTGCGGTGGCTCACGCCTATAATCCCAGCACTTTGGGAGGCTGAGGCGGGTGGATCACGAGGTCAAGAGATCGAGACCATCCTTGTCAACAAGGTGAAACCCCATCTCTACTAAAAATACAAAAATTAGCTGGGCATGGTGGTGCGCGCCTGTAGTCCCAGCTACTCGGGAGGCTGAGGCAGGAGAATTGCCTGAACCCAGGAGGCGGAGGTTGTGGTGAGCCGAGATCGCGCCATTGCACTCCAGTCTGGGTAACAACAGCGAAACTCCATCTCAAAAAATAAAAAATAAATAAAAAAACTTTTTAAAAAGTGACTACATAATTGGAAGTAAATCACTCCTCAGTAATTGCATAGCATTTCACAGGTTTAAATGAAATATTGGTTGGCTGCTTGTTTGTTATTTTCCTCCCTTATTCCTTCCTGTCTCCATTGTTAAGCACAATTCTTGGCATAAAAGAGATTTTCAATACCCATTTTTAGACTGCATTCTAGCCTGGGCAATAAAACAACACTCCAGTTCTCTCTCCCTCTTTCTCTTCCTCTTTCTCTCTTTCATTCTTTTTTTTTCTTTTTCTTTTTTTTATTTTTTTCTAAAAAAAAAAAAAGAACTGCTATGTGGAAAATTGGGGAGGGAGAAGCACAGAACGAGAAAAGCCAGGAGACAAATTAGAAGGCTGAATAATGGTAGCTTGGATGGGAGGTGGTGCGGCTGTGAGGATTGGGGGTGGAGGTTGGGGATAAGCAGGGGGTTGTGGGGGAATGTAGAGAAAAGAGGGATGGGTCAATGTTTGGTTTGAGGGAGAAGTTCAACTGCATTTCTCCCCTTGGATTTTAGAAGAAACCTGTGTCTCTGCAAAAAAATTATTTTTGTGTAAGCTAGCTAGAACTGTTTTCCACTGCTCTTATGCAAAGTCTTAGTAAGCACATCCATCAAAACTGTGAAAATCCATGTATTACTTCTTTTTTTTTTTGAGACAGGGTCTTACTCTGTTGCCCAGGCTGGAGTGCAGTGGCATAATCTAAGCTCACTGCAGCCTCTGCCTCCTGGGTTCATACAATTCTCCTGCCTCAGCCTCCTACATAGCTGAGACCGTAGGTGCCTGCTACCATGCCCAGCTAATTTTTGTATGTTTTTGTAGAGACAGAGTTTTGCCATGTTGCCCAGACTGTTCTCAAGCTCCTGTGCTCAAGTGATCTGCCTGCCTTAGCTACCCAAACTGCTGGGATTACAGGTGTGAGCCACCATGCCAAGTGTATTACTCTTCTTTTATTTTTATTTTTTTTGAGACAGAATCTCGCTTTGTCACCTAGGCTCAAGTGCAGTTGCCTAGTCTTGGCTCACTGCAACCTCAGCCTCCTGGGTTCAAGCAATCCTCCTGCCTCAGCCTCCCAAGTAGCTGGCATTATAGGTGTGCGCCACCACACCTGGCTAATTTTTTTTTCTTTAAAAAAAAATTTTTTTTAATTAATTTTTGTATTTTTAGTAGATCTAGGGTTTTGCCAGGTTGGTCAGACTGGTCTCAAACTCCTGACCTCAAGTGATCTACCCACCTTAGCCTCCCAAAGTGCTGGGATTACAGGTATGAGCCACCATGCCTAGCCGGAAAATACAGTATTTTAATTTAAACCTATAACCCAAATTAGATTTAGAGAGAAGTTCTGCCGGGCGTGGTGGCTCAAGCCTGTAATCCCAGCACTCTGGGAGGCCGAGGCGGGTGGATCACGAGGTCTAGAGATCGAGACCATCCTGGTCAACATGGTGAAACCCTGTCTCTACTGAAAATATAAAAAATTAGCTGGGCATGGTGGTGCGCGCCTGTAATCCCACCTACTCGGGAGGCTGAGGCAGGAGAATTGCTTAAACCCAGGAGGTGGAGGTTGCGGTGAGCCGAGATTGCGCCATTGCACTCCAGCCTGGGTGACAAGAGCAAAACTCTGTCTAAAAAGAAAAAAAGATTTATAGAGAAGTTTTGAATGGGGTGTTAGAAACAGAGGCCAAGGCTGCTCCCCTGCCTCTCCAATATTAGACAAGGTTCTTCTGAATACTCAGGGGAGTTAGTAGGCAGTGAGGTTCTACGGAGTTAACACATACTGATTATTACTCACATAGAAGCTTCTCCTTTTGCAGGGTGTCTGGTATCAAATCATCTTTTTCCCCTAGAGAGCCATTCAACAGGTATCGAGGGTTATTCTTCTGAATATGCTGATGCGTTGCAGAGTTTGGTAAACTGCCTCTTTGAGCTAAAAATAGGCAATTTAATTAAAGTTATTATTGTAAGGTTGACTCATCACTTCTAACATCTAGGTCAATACCAAGCCACTACTCTTTTTATTACCACCTACCACCACAGGCCTTTGCAATGAATACATTGCATTTTTCAAAGAGCTTTCACATTCCAACTTACGTAAGTGAAGCATAATTATCCCCACCTTATGGCTGGGGAAATGCATGTAAAGAGGAGACTTGAGAAGTAGCCTGGTGTAGTAGAGTGAGAAAAAGCTTGGGAGGCAGAAAGATCCTGAAGTTACAAGGGCTTTGTTGGAACTCAGATAATGATAGCCCAGGGGTGGAAGGGTTGCTTGAGCCTGAAGTGGAGGCCACTGCCCTCCAGCCTGAGTGACAGAGGAAGATCCTGTCTCAAAAAAAAAAAAAAAAAAATTGGCCCAAAGGTGGAACACTTTGGCATACTGAACAGTTTGAACTAAATATAGAAAGGGCTCCAAGCCTCAACAATATAAAATTTACCCATGTAACAAACCTGCACATGTACCCTCTAATCTATAATGAAAGTTGAAAAAATAAAACAGAAAAGTCTTAGAAGCTGCCTCAGAATCAAGGACTTTCTGACCTCTCCTGTCTCCCCACTACCCCAAGAGCAGGAAGGGACTCTCTCTGGAATTCCTTATTTGACTAAGGAAACTTCTTTCCAAAAGAAAAGTAGTTGTTTTAAGTTCCCTTCCCTAGGAATCTCATCAAATAACCAGTAAAGATGAACAACCAAAGAGGAGACTAAAAATTGGCACCACATCCAGAGAGACTTGTCATCAATTCTGAGGGCAACTCTGAGAGATTATCTGGGCAACTATTTGCATAAGACAACCTTTCTTCAGTGAAGCTCCTCCCCTCACTTTCTTGCCACCCCTCCCGGAAGCTCAGAGGAACTTTGTCCCGGACATGGTTCTTGGAGCTCATTCCTTTCTCCTGAAAATTACCCTTCACAATTGCCTGCACACCCTCCTCCCTGAATTTCTCTCTCCCTATTTTTTTTTTTTTTGAGATGGAGTTTTGCTCTTGTTGCCCAGGCTGGAGTGCAATGGTGCGATCTCGGCTCACTGCAACCTCTGCCTCCTGGGTTCAGGCAATTCTCCTGCCTCAGTCTCCCAAGTAGCTGTGACTACAGGTGCGTGCCACCATGCCCAACTAATTTTTTTTTTTTTTTTTTGCATTTTTAGTAGAGACGGGGTTTCACCTTGTTGACCAGGATGGTCTCGATCTCTTGACCTCGTGATCTACCCGCCTCAGCCTCCCAAAGTGCTGGGATTATAGGCGTGGGCCACCGCGCCTGGCCTTCTCTTGCCCTATTAAGAGGGTATTTAAACTTCAACAATCTGGCCCTACTTCGAGTCTCCTATTTGTGAGAATCATATGTCCACATACACATAAATTTGTATGCCTTTTTCTCCTATTAGTCTGTCCATTACCAGTCAGTCAAACTTTCAGAGACACTGGAAGGAAAGCCTTCCCTCTGCCCCTACAGCTGCCAAGAGAGCCAAACCCAGGTGAAAGCAAGTATCAAAGTGGCAGTGGATCAATGAAACCCAAAGCCACTTTATCCTAAGGGTATCTGCTGAATCTGGCAAACTAGAAATTTAATTTTCTTTTTATTTTAAAATTAAATTTAATTTTCTAGCCGAGGCTAGAGTACAGTGGTGCAATCTCAGCTCACTGCAACCTCAACCTCCTGGCTTCAAGCAATTCTCTGCCTCAGCCTCTCGAGTACCTAGGATTGCAGGTGCCTATCACCATGCCCAACTAATTTTTTGTATTTTTTAGTAGAGATGGGGTTTCACCATCTTGGCCAGGCTGGTCTTGAACTCCTGACCTTGTGATCCATCTGCCTTGGCCTCCCAAAGTGCTGGGAATATAGGCGCATGCTACCACGTCCAGCTAATTTTTTGTATTTTTAGTAGAGGTAGGGTTTCGCCATTGTTGGCCAAGCTGGTCTGGAACTCCTGGCTTCAAGTGATCCGCCCACTTAAGCCTCCCAAAGTGCTGAGATTACAGGTGTGTGGTGTATCCCAGCATTTTGGGAGGCTGAGGCAGGCGGATCACTTGAGGTCCGGAGTGTGAGACCAGCCTGGCCAACAGGTGAAATCTTTTGTCTACTAGAAATACAAAAATTAGGACAGGGATGGTGGCTCATGCCTGTAATCCTAACACTTTGGGAGGCCAAAGGGGGTGGATCACCTGAGGTCAGGAGTTGGAGACCAGCCTGACCCAACATGGCAAAACCCTGTCTCTACTAAAACTATAAAAAAAATTAGCCGGGCGTGATGGTGGGCACCTATAATCCTAGCTACTTGGGAGGCTGAGGCAGGAGAATTGCTTGAACCTGGGAGGTGGAGGGTGCAGTGAGCCGAAATTGCACCATTGCACTCCAGCCTGGGAGAAAAGAGTGAGACTCCATCTCGGGGGTAGGGGGGAAGGAGAAACAAAGATTAGCCGGGAAGGGCCAGGCACGGTGGCTCATGCCTATAATCCCAGCACTTTGGGAGGCCAAGGCGGGTGCATCACGAGGTCAAGAGATCAAGATCATCCTGGTCAACAAGGTGAAACGCCGTCTCTACTAAAAATACAAAAATTAGCTGGGCATGGTGGTATGCGCCTGTAGTCCCAGCTACTCGGGAGGCTGAGGCAGGAGAATTGCTTGAACCCAGGAGGCGGAGGTTGCGGTGAGCCGGGATCACGCCATTGCACTCCAGTCTGGGTAACAACAGCAAAACTCCATCTCAAAAAAAAAAAAAAAGCCGGGCATGATGGCATGTGCCTGTAGTCCCAGCTACTCAGGAGGCTGAGGCAGGATAATCGTGAACCTGGGAGGCAGAGGTTACAACGAGCCAAGAGCACGCCACTGCACTCCATCCTGGGCAACAGAATGAGACTCCATCTCATAATAAAATGTCATAAGCCAATTGCAAAATGTATATAGGAAGGCAGACTCAAGAACAGCTGACACTCTGGAAGAACAAGGTGGAAAGACATGTCTTTCCAGATACTAAGACTATTTTAAGGCCATATAGTAATTAAGAGAAGTGATACTGGTAAAGGATAGACAAACAGATCATTGGAATAGAGAGCCCAGAAACAGACCTTTGTATTAAGTGACTCTGTCTACTTGACAGAGGTGACCCTGCAGATCAATGGGGAAAGGAAGTACTTTTCACTAATGTTAGAGAAAAAAGTATTTGTCAGTTCAAAGTATTTATTAGTCTACCCAAGTGCAACTCTCCCAGTTAACAAAGCAATTTTCTTGAACCCAGGAAAAGTGATACTAGGTATGAACATGGTATTATTACCTTTAAAGTAGCCATAATATTGGAGGTGACGGTACATAAAGTCTTCATAGGGATCAGGAAGTCTATGAGTCTGTGAAAGGAAGGGCCACTTCAATCAAGATGTTTTCAAACAATAAGACTCAACAAAAAGTACATGAGCGTTGTTGCAGAGGACTAAACTACACCCAGCGAACCACATTCCATACGAATTATTCTATCGTAGGGATCAAGATCTTCAGCTGGGAAAAGATGCCACCAGAACATCCCTTCTCATCTAGTATCGGATTTCTGTGGAGTTCCCTGAAGAAATTTGTGGCTTTCTGTGTTGTGCACCGACCTCCTGCTTTAGCTGCGTTTCCAAGGCTGGGAACATGTTACTTCTCCATGGTGGACTGAAGACTAGTCAGTGACGTTAGCATCTAGCTGCAAACCCTGCCCAATTTCCAAATAGGCAGGTGATTACACACGAGAAGCTACAAAGCCAGAACAGGACAAGTGAAAAAACTGCCAATACCTCCCTGCAACCCCCCAGCTCCCGCTTGACTTCAGAAAATCCTGCCAACCCAGCTTCTCCTCAGCCAAACAAGGTGGTCACGTCGAGGCCGGAGGTGCACCTGAAACAGGGAGGACGGCGGGTCTTCCTGCCTCTTCTTCCCAAGGAGCTGGCCCCAGGCTTCCTTCTCCCCGAGAAGGGAGATGCTCGCCACAGAGAAGTGAAAGAAATGGGGATGGGAACACGCGGCGGAGTCGTCTCGGGGGAGATGGGAAAAGGTCAGGGGATCGGGAGAGTGGGCCCTGAAAACTGAATTTAAGGTTCAGAGAAACCTTGTCCGGGGCAGGTGGTGAGGGGGTTTCCAAAGGGTAGGAGGGAGAGGGGGAGCAGAAACTTCCCAAGAAGATGGGTGCGACCGCCTTCGCGCCGCGGCCTGTCTCGAGCAGGACAGATGGGTGCGGCAGAGAAGCCCCAGCAAGGCAGGCGGCTACCACACTTACGTACAAAGGCTAAGCCTCGTGCGGGAAAGGGGACAAACTCGCCGCACCTGCCAACCACCGCTTTCTGTGAGGGCCCGGCTAGCCTAGCAACCGCGAGCGGGAAGCGGAAGAAGGGAGGGGCTGCCAGGTGCTTCCGGGGAGCTAGGCCCCTCCCCCAGGGAGGGAGCCAGCAACCCCAGGAAGGTCAGCAATAAGCTTGCCGGGCAGCGGCGACTCAGACTCATTCTCCCCCTCATACATTACAGCCCCAGCCTGGGAATCGAAGCCGCATTGATGAGTACAGTGCCAGCAGCCCTCAACATATTTCCAAGCTCGTTTCCTGTTGCTTAGCGTTAGATCTTTTTTTTTTTTTTTTTGAGACGAGTTTCGCTCTTGTTACCCAGGCTGGAGTGCAATGGCGCGATCTCGGCTCACAGCAACCTCTGCCTCCTGGGTTCAGGCAATTCTCCTGCCTCAGCCTCCCGAGTAGCCGGGATTACAGGCACGCGCCATCACGTCCAGCTAATTTTTTGTATTTTTAGTAGAGACGGGGTTTCACCATGTTGACAGGGATGGTCTCGATCTCTTGACCTCGTGATCCACACGCCTCGGCCTCACAAAGTGCTGGGATTACAGGCTTGAGCCACCGCGCCCGGCCCGCGTTAGATCATTCTTATGCATACTTTGCTCTAAGAGAGCTGCTGCTCCTCTCCTTTGACCTTTTATTCTCTCCACTCCATAACCAGGACGCAAAAATTACCATCTACACTGAAAAACTTAAGAAACAAAGCTAGCAAATTCAAATCACACATTTGGATTTGGGTTTTTAAATTATATGTTTGAATAAAATTCAAACACGTCTTTGGTTAACTTTTTATGAATATAATCCTGTTAATGTTATTATCAGTGGGGAAAAAGCTATAAAGCACCTTTTATTCAAAATGTTAAGCATATTACATCACTGCCAGGAATTAAGTAGATCAAATATTATCTAAACATAGCTATTGGATAATATGGCTATTATCCAATCTAGGTATTAGATAATATAGATATTATACATATCAGACCCCAAAACGTAGGTCCCAGAGCACCATCTGGTATTAGAAACCTGTTTGTCTAAACTGGCCCCACCATTCCCCTATTCCTGACTCAAGATCTGCTGCTCTTTTCCCTGAAAGCACACACCCTTACAATGTATATGCTTAGAAAAAAAAAAAAAAGTCCTGATTACATAATGGAGATAACAGGCTTTGATGAGCAAAAGGATAACCCATCAGAATTATAAAAAAAGCTTTATTAGTGCATATATACAAATTTACAAGGTCAGAAACTGGAGAAATACAAAGAGTTTTAAAACACAATTTGCCTTTTCCTCAGTTTAAAGTGACTTTTACCTGATTGTGATACATTACAAAGTACAGAATGGTAAACTGCTTTTTAAATACTGGAATTTTACGGAGAATACATTCACATAAAGAAAGGAGGTGAATTTTGTTTTGAAACAGGGTTAAGACAACGGAGACATTAATACATAGAGTGTCTCGTTACATCTACTGCCACATACTTGAGGGGAAATTCTCAAAATCAAGGATATGAACACCTGCTGCCAATGCTGCTGTTTGTATGCCACCTAGTGTGCGAAATGAGCTACCAGTTCTAGAATTTACGAGAACTACTCTAAAGACTGTGGCCATCTACCAACACAAGGTAAACCACTTAGACCTCAGCACTTCAGGCGTAGCTGACTAGAGGAAGAGGCCAGAAAGAGATCCAGATAATCCCAGTGAAGCAAGGTAGAATGCAGAGCTGCCTTCTGAATTGCACTTGTTCTGGAGAAGTCAATCCTTCACTTTTAAAAAAGTCAGGGAGTCCTCTACAGAGGTGTCATATTCGTGAGCCACATGTTCTTCAAGACTGATGAAGTTAACGTACCTAACATACTAAGTTTGCCAGTATGAGAATAAATGCAGCATGGTCCAAGCAATTCCAATCACCTCACCCTTTAGCAAAACAGAAAAATTACATTTCACAGAAGTGAAACTTTGTATGCATACGCTCTTGCCCAGGAAATTCATATGGTCTCCCCCATAACATCTGTTGTTTATTTGACAATAAAACTTGTTAAGACTTTGAACACAAAACAAATAATACAAAAAAAGTTTTAAAAACTTTAAAACTATGTGTTTGGAGCCGTTTTCCTTCTCTTTAGTCTTGCTCTCCAATCCTCAGGAAGGGCTTCAAAATTAGCATTTCTCTCTGCCATGCCACTGTGAAAACAACACATAGATTATCACTGCAAAGAAAAATTAACAAAAGTATTCATTTCCTAAAAAATAAACACCAAACTGAAATTAAAAACCGGATCACATCTATGTTTACTAAACTGTTGTTTCTCAGCCAAATATCAGTATATTCTTCAATTTCTTCATTCTGATAGGTCAACCAAACACTTCCCCAATTTTAGGTATATGTATACGTGCTTTTTATTTATTTATTTAGAGATAGAGTTTCGCTCTTGTTGCCCAGGCTGGAGTGCAGTGGTGTGATCTCGGCTCACTGCAACTTCTGCCTCTCGGGTTCAAGCCATTCTCCTGCCTCACCCTCCCGAGTAGCTGAAATTACATGCTTTTGCTACCACACCCAGCTAATTTTGTATTTTTAGTAGAGACAGGTTTCTCCATGTTGCATCAAGCCGGTCTCAAACGCCTAACCTCAGGTGATCTGCCTGGCCTCCCAAAGTCTTGGGATTACAGGCGTGAGCCACCACACCCAGACTTATTTTATTTTATATAAATATACCTCCAGTAACCATTAAAGGCACACTGAAGAATAAAATACATTCTACTAAAGTTTTTTCTTAGCCCACAATGGGTTAAGACAAGCCTTTGCCCTAGACCAACAATCAACAGGACAAAGTTTTACAACTCTGGTATTTCCGATTTATTCCCTCTCTTCCTCTCCCTCTCTCTCCCTCTCTCTCTCTCTCTCTCTCTCTCTCTCTCTGAGACAGAGTTTCGCTCTTGTTACCCAGGCTGGAGTGCGATGGCGCGATCTCGGCTCATCTCAACCTCAGCCTCCTGGGTTCAGGCAATTCTCCTGCCTCAGCCTCCTGAATAGCTGGGATTATAGGCACGCGCCACCATGCCCAGCTAATTTTTTGTATTTTTAGTAGAGATGGGGTTTCGCCATGTTGACCAGGATGGTCTCGATCTCTTGACCTCGTGATCCACCTGCCTCGGCCTCCCAAAGTGCACGGTGAGCCACCGTGCCCGGCCTGGTATTTCTGATTTTGAAAAAAAGGCTAGACCATGATTTCTATAAGGCAATAAAACATGTTTATAAATTAAAAACTTTTAGATAAATTTACAAGCTGTAATTTTAAGAATATCTTTTCTAATGAATCTTTAACAACCACAACCTACTCTACCCATCTGTGTTCCCTTTTCTTTACCTAACCAGCTGCTGCTGTTTCCACTCTTCAATTCGCTTCTGTGCAGTTGATTCCCGATCCTCTTCACTGGAACTAGAATTGTCCTCTTCATCTAACTCACGCTGGATACTTTGCCACTTCTTTACCAAAGATGGCATTTTGGTCTTACTCTTCTTTGCCTGTAACAAAGGTTAATGGTCAAAAGGAATAGAAAACATAAAATAAGGATAAGAGTCCTCTATAATGGAGGTCAGGATCCTTTTCCCAGTTCTAAGGAATATGCAGACTTTAAAATTAAAAGAAAGTAAATACCATTCTAAGTTCTTGCCATAAACTTCTTACCAACTATAAATGAAAAGGCTTGGTTAAAAATCCATAAAGCTAGCTGGGCACGGTGGCTCATGCCTATAATCCCAGCACTTTGGGAGGCTGAGGCGGGTGGATCACGAGGTCAAGAGATTGAGACCATCCTGGTCAACATGGTGAAACTCTGTCTCTATTAAAAATACAAAAACTAGTGGGCATGGTGGCGCACGCCTGTAGTCCCAGCTAATTGGGAGGCTGAGGCAGGAGAATTGCTTGAGCCCAGCAGGCGGAGGTTGTAGTGAGCCAAGATCGTGCCATTACACTCCAGCCTGGGTAACAAGAGTAAAACTCCGTCTCAAAAAAAAAAAAAAAATCCATAAATTTTGTAAATGTGATATTTTATAAAATCAGGTCATAAAAACTTCCTTTACCTCCCTATCCTCTGCAATTCAAAATACTGCCTTTATTTCATCTTCTCAGATTTATAGTGTTCCTGTTTTCAAGTTTTAAATAGATGCAGTGTTCCTATCAAGTGATTTAAAAAAAGCTAAAAAATAAAAGCTGAAAGGAGCAACAAACTAAATTGCCATATTAGCTAGCTGTGGTGGCAGTCGTCTGTAGTCCCAGCTACTTGGGAGGCTGAGGCAGGAGAATCGCTTGAACCCGGGAGGCAGAGGTTGCAGTGAGCAAGACCGCACACCACTGCACTCCGGCCTGGGTGACACAGTGAGACTGTCTCAAATCACAACACTTTGGGAGACCAAGGTGGGTAGATCACTTGAGGCCAGGAACATCCTGTCCAACATGAAAAAAACCCAATTCTACTAAAAATATAAAAAATACCACTGGGTACATGGCTCATGCCTGTAATCCCAGAACTTTGGGAGGCCAAGGCAGGCGATCAGCAGGTCAGGAGTTCGAGACCAGCCTGGCCAGCATGATGAAACCCCATCTCTACTAAAAATACAAAAAATTAGCTGTGTATGGTGGCAGATGCCTGTAATCCCAGCTATTTGGGAGGCTCAAGCAAGAGAATCGCTTGAACCTGGGAGGCGGACGTTAAAGGGAGCCAAGAATGCAGCCCTGCACTCCAGCCCCAGTGACAGTGCAAGACTCCATCTCAAAAAAAAAAAAAAAGCCTGGCATCGTGGTGCACATGCCTGTAGTCCCAGCTACTCAGGATGAAGAGGTTGCAGTGAGCCAAGATCACGCCACAGCACTCCAGCCTGGGTGACAGTGACTCTGTTTCCTTTCCCCTCACCAAAAAAAATCAATGATGCAGTTAGTTCTAAGAAGGTATAATGGTATAATATTTTATTTTTCTTTTTGCTTCCCTTCATTGTCTACATTGTCTTTAATAAACATGCACTTTTTCCCTTTTCTTTCTGAGATAGTCTCACTCTGTTGCCCAGGCTGGAGTGCAGTAGTGTGATCACAACTCTCTGCAACCTCTACCTCCCAGATTCAAGCGATTCTCCTGCCTCAGCCTCTTCTGGAGTAGCTGGGATTACAGACGTTTACCACCACGCTGGTTAATTTTTATAGTTTTAGTACAGATGGAGTTTCACCATGTTGACCAGGCTGGTTTCAAACTCCTGACCTCAGGTAATCTACCCACTTCGGCCGCCCAAACTGCTGGGATTACAGGCATGAGCCACCATGCCCGGCCTTCTTTCCCCAACTTGCTTTGGTTTTTTTTTTTTTGAGATGGAGTCTCATTCTGTTGCTAGGCTGAAGTGTAGCTGCATGATCTCAGCTCACTGCAACCTCTGCCTCCCGGGTTCAAGCAATTCTCTTGCCTCACCCTCCAGAGTAGCTAGGACTATAGGCGCACGCTACCACACCTGGCTAATTTTTGTACTAGTAGAGTTGGGGTTTCATCATTTTGGCCAGGCTTGTCTTGAATTCCTGACCTCAAATGATCCACCCGCCTCAGTCTCCCAAAGTGCTGAGATTACAGGCATGAGTCATTGGGCCTGGCCTAACATGTGCTGTCATAGTAAAAAAATATTTGTGAGCTGCGTGTGGTGGCTCACGCCTGTAATCCCAACATTTTGGGAAGCTGAGGCACAAGGATCACTTGAGGCCAGGAGTTTAAGACTAGTCTGGACAACAAAGCAAATCCCTGTTCCTTCAAAAAAAATTTT